GAAGGGGGTACCAATAAAGATAACACCATTAAACAGTTACACAACATAACAGAAATAATATCGATAGCAGCGTCCCTAGCAACCACCTTGGTGACAATGAAAACGTTGTATAGACACAATTTCCTGAAGTAATCTTCGTAATAACTAGCAAACTAAAGATCATGTACATCCACTGCACACATAATCTGAAATAACAACTCATATTTCTCGCATCAAATGACATAAAAACGCATTTTAATGGCCAAACTAACTTTAAAATAGGCATTTTCCACCGAAAATAAAACGAAGTTCGGCCATGTTTTTTTTTTCTGCAGGGAGAAATGTGAAGATCACGTGACATAGAGGCCAGCCATTGGAATGAATGGTGAAAAAAAACGTAGGGATCTTACAATTTCAGAGGCGTTTTTGTAGAAATACTACGTCCTACGTTGTGGACCAACGTAGTTATTACACGTTTTTTTATGAGACTGGGGTTGTTATTACCTGCTGAGAGGCACAAACATGATCAAGGAGTCTTTCCAGAGACCTTCACCTGTACATGAGCTACTTCTGACACCTTGTGGGCGGTCCTGTACCTGCCACCTTCTCATTTCTGAAACTTTATTTCAACATTTTGGAATGACAGAAACATGTATACCATCAGTACAGTACAGCTCAAAACATACAATTGTTAAGGGGATGCAGACCAGAGAAAGACTTTCGTCTTGTTTACATCAGGGTCCCCCATTTCCAATTCATCATGTCATTTAAGACATATAAGACATATTTGACATACAGATGGCTTATTTACAATTTACATACAGGTGGTTTTTTTACATACAGATTGCTTGTTTACAATTTTCATTTTAGATTTCGTTCTAATACATCCTAACCGGACATTTAAGACATACCAAGTCTACAGATATTGTCAAGGAGAGACTCTGAGGCATGAACTCAATTGCACGACACAGATAGTGTTCTCAAAAAATAAAGACTTTACTGGAATTTTGCACAGTAATCAAAACAAGGAAAACAAATATACTCTTTCGAGGAAAACTAGCAAGTGATCAATGAGGTAGATCCGTGGGAAGTCCGTGAGGTAATCAGGAACGTGGGTCATAGTAAGACAACGAACTGACAATGAACAGGAGGAAAGCTACCACAATATATACACAGGTAAAGGGGACACAGGTGGAAACAATCAGGGCGGGGAAAACAATCAAGGACGCAGGAGACAGAAGGGGGCGGGGAGCGTGGAGGCCTGAAATGAGAGGGATGATTAATTAAGGGAATAAACATAAAGCACAGGGCAAAGGGACATGACAAAACTAACATAAAGAATACACTTTCACTATTAGTTTCCTAGACATGACAGATATACGGTTAGTAACAGAGTCTAAAATGCGAGTATATACATAGATGGGGGGGGGGAAGCTGTCCATTGAACGACAGGTTGAGATTTGTACCATTACCGGGGCCAGTTTTGCAATGCTCTCCCCCGAAGGTGCTCTTTAAGAGAGGTTTTGAAGGTAAGTATAGTTTTACTTTCCTTTACAGTTGTGGGAAGAGCGTTCCACCTTGATGTGGCATAATTGCGAAACGTGTATTCCCCCTTTTTTGTGCCAAATCTGGGTTTCACATGATTTGTGGAGCTCCCTCTGGTGTTATGATCATGGTATTCCTTGACCTTTGGGAAGAATTTTGACATGTACATGGGTACCATAGAGGTGTAGTGGATCTTGTAGACCAGGCCCATTGCAAGTAGCTGTACTCTGTCGTCTAAGCCATCCTAGGTTGTCAAAGTGGGCAGAGGTGAGGTGGGTTCTAGATGAAAGGTCAAGCAGTAGTCTGACCAGTTTATTTTGCGATGTTTGAAGTTTTATTTTTAGCGCCTTGGAGGTGCTATGGTACCATGACGTGCAAGCATAGTCATAGTACCCTTGAATGAGTGCTCCTGCCAGAGTTTTCAGGGTGTTTTTGTTTACCAGAGAGGAGATCCGGTATAGGAATCTAGTTCTTTGATTGACTTTTTTTATTACATTGGATGCCATTTTGTCACAGGAGAGGTTTGCCTCAAGAATAGATCCTAGGTATGTAATTTCCTTCTTACTTGTGAGACTGCAGTGGAGACGCTGTGCACAGCTGATCGACAGCTGGGACACAAACCACCAAATACAAAAACATAATTCAGATCCAGTCGTCATGACTCCACTCCGGAGGGATTCCCCGATCATTTCTTACAGTCTCTCATCAAGGGGGGGTCTCCTGTCCCCGGTACAAACACACTGCCTGAGGAAGGATATGTGTATTTTTTTTGTCATTAACCTTTTTCGGACCACTTATTTATTTATTTTGGTGATGATCCGACCTCCATGCTGCTACTCTGGTTCAAACTGCATCCACCAAACAATATGATTTATCTTGATGTCCCCAAAATAACCAAAATCTGACACGGGTTGCGTTCCAATAGTCCATTTAGCTTAGGAACCTTCCTAACCAAGTGAAATGACCCGGAAGTCCCTCAGTGGCAGCCATGATAAGTGCCGTTCCAATTCTCCAAATGAAAGGAAAGGAGGTTTCAAACTTCCTTTATAACCTCCTTTAGCTTAGGAACCACTGGACCTCCCTTACCGAAAGGAGAGGAGAAAATGCTGCCCCACAATGCATTGCGGCCGCAGCATTTGCCGTCACTCAACAGTCGGCCGTTCACGGAAACAACCGATTATGACGGAGAAATGATATCATGAAAGTTACGGTGCTTATTAAGCATTTTAAAACGTATGTGGTAACTTGCCAAAGTGCTTTGTTTTGAACGTTCATCAGTATTATAATAAAAGAGAAATATGAACGTTAGTTTTTACTGAAATGATCAAATAAAGTCAACATTTCACAGTCTTTACTGAGCTGCAGTGGTGTAGTGGGCGTTGGACGCGGGGGTACGCCGTACCCCCACTTATTTTGAGCATGATCTTTTTTTTAAGTCTAATAAATATAAAATCATTGCCAGTGTTATCAGTTGCAAGTGTGTATTTGTTGTAATAATGACGAAAACATAATACATTTCACAGTAATTATAATAAAAAATAAAAACGATTTCCTTAAAAAAGTATGATTTATCATCATCACGCTCGTGACCCACGGCGAGCCAGCTCGCCGCGCCCGCCGATTTTGCGGCAGCTCCTTCCCTCAAGAACACTAACGAAAAAGCTCTATAATGGCAGGCTAACATGTTTTACTTGACTTATTTTCTAAAAAGAATATAATTCACAAGAAGAAAGAGGCTAGCACCGAAGCTACAAGTGAAGCTGCGAGTAATACATCATCAGAAGAGCCGCCTAAAGGCGTGGATAATGCTAGCTAACGTGCACGTTAGCTGCGCTAGCAACGTTCCTCTAGCTAGCTCAAGCTCACCTTTCCCAGTGGTATGGACGGAGGAGATGTGGCGGAGGAAACAAGAGGCATACCCGTGGATAGACTGCAAAGCTGGGAAACTGGGCTGCAAAGTTTGTTAATCCATTTCGGATTTATCAGTCTTCAAAACCCAAGGTGTGTGTGTGTGTGTGTGTGTGTGTGTGTGTGTGTGTGTGTGTGTGTGTGTGTGTGTGTGTGTGTGTGTGTGTGTGTGTGTGTGTGTGTGTGTGTGTGTGTGTGTGTGTGTGTGTGTGTGTGTGTGTGTGTGTGTGTGTGTGTGTGTGTGTGTGTGTGGCAGCGCGGCAGCGCTGTCTGCTTATTTGCAATTATAATCAGAATAATGTCAAGTCCAGATTCAATGTTGTTTGCATAAGTATGGCTATATTTTTCGTTTTGTTTATTTAATAAGTTAATTTCAGGACAACTTTGGACATTTTGTTTGTTTGTTATGAGTTTTAAATAGATTTAAAAGTTGAAAGTGGAGAGATAGAGAGAGAAGCAGCACTGTCTGCTTAGTTGCAATACTGTAGCTTATGCAATTTAGGCCTATAAATTGTTTATGTAACTTATGTGCCAGTGTGTCCATGGTTTTGAGTCTGTCTGTGTGTTGAGCGCAGCGCCGTCTGCTTTTTGCAATACAGTAACTAAAGTAAGTTAGGACTAAGCATACCGGTAGTTTCTGTGGACCTGTCTGCCCGTTTGTGAGTGCACTGCGCGCATGCGCACTTGTGTGGCATTGTTTGGGATGACCTAATTAAAATAGCGTCCCCCCAGTAAAAAAATCCCCACTACACCACTGCTGTGTGGGGTTTGTTCAACTTTTAAAAGATGTTTGAATGGTGATATACACAGTGATAGATCATTTGTATTAATGTGGACCGGAGGGAGAGGGGGACGAGCATAAGTTTCACTTTCCTTTTTTATTTCAATTCCAACTTTGGTCATGAAGAATATGTTTCTCTGTTGTCCACGTTCATAAAGCATAAAGCAACAGCATCAGAGCACGGTGCAGAGTCTCTAGATGAGTTTACAGTAGTCCCTCGTTCTTATTAAACATCCATGTTGTAGTCCGCTGTATAGAAAACTGTAGTTTCCATAGTTTCCCCACAGCAGCAGACGCACATTCAGGACGTCCGCTGGAGCATCATAAACACGTCAGATAGTGAAAGTGCAGTCTCTTCTCCTAAGTCCTTTTGAATTCTCCTATCCACTATCCCTTAACCCCGTGACCTTTCACTCAGAGGTCAAGGAATAGGAGATAGGGTTAGAATTTAGGAGCTGATTTTTGGATTATCGGAACGCAACCACTGTGTGAGATGTCTTTTTTAGCTGTTCTGTCGTCATTTCCTGCGATCTTCTTCATAAAGTCAGTCAGAATGATTGAATGGGCGTTTCTTTGACTATTTATAGGCAAATATGGGCGTTACGTGAAGCCCGCAAAAGCTGCACCGCATTTCGAGTCGGTTGTGATTTATAAAGGGAAACCGGCGTAGGAAGTGCCGTACGCACTTTCCTCGCCGGTGCGCAATGTTTGGTGAATCGGGAAGTGGCGGGAAATTTCTGTACCTATTTTTTGGATTTCTACTACGTAAGCAACCTTCCCACGTGAATCCTACGCACGGCGTTATACATGAGGCCCCAGGTCAGCACCCAACTGCAGACACACACGCTAATAACACACAACACACATATCATTTGCACGAGACCCAACCAAGAGCTAGAAGAGAATACATATTTGACAAACTCAAGACCCACCTTTTTAATTTAGCTTAACTGAATTGCATTTTATTCTTTTTATTATTCTTTGTTTGTTCTATTCCTATGTTATTCAGTCCTGTGTTGGTATTCAGTGTTCTTTTTCATCACAAAGCTATACTCTGGTTATAACCTGGGAAGGGGGAGATAGTATGGTTTGTAAATTGTCTATGAGTTTGGTTTGTGAAGCACTTTGAGTTACCTTTGTGTATGAAAAGTGCTGTATAAATAAAGTTTGATTTGACTTGTATGGACACAGAACCCAGTACAAATGAATGACCATGTGCTGTGTGTATGTGTACATGTTTGATAAATCATTCAGCATGTTCACTTTCATGCATATCATGTTATTATATGTTAATGTTTAATTTTCAGTTTGTTTTGTTGTGGCCAAAAACAATACAGTAATGCAGCATCGAGTCATTTCAAAGGCAGAGAACAGCAAAACATGAAACCATTTTGACTTACAAAACAGCTCTTTGTCACAGGCTGGGGTTGGGGGAGGGGGGGGGTGTCCAGCTGTGGAGGTCAGGTGGTCTCAGGGCTCTTTCTGTGTGACAGCAGGCGGGCTCATCAGCTCCAGAGGGGTGGAGGAGACGGTGCAGATGGACTGGGAGTACTGAGCCGCCTCCTCCTCCTCCTCCTCCTCCTCACAGAGCTCCTCGCTCAGGGTCAGCTCACTGAGATGGAGTCCTTCCAGCTCTGCATACTGGGGCCCAGAGAAGAGCCTAATCACCGCACAGACCCGGGGAACCTGCAGGAGCGTGTCCTTCAGAGTAATGATCACCACCAGGCCCCCCAGCAGGTAGCCTGTGGACAGACCAGAACACATGACAACCCATTACTCTGCGTCTCTCAACCAGAAACGCATGTGCATACGTATCAAATGTGTGACAAAGACAACAGAGTGGGGGGAAAAAATATATATATAATATCATTTCCTTCAAGAGGGGATAATAAAATACTTGTTATTAATAGCCTAATTGCCAGATTGTGAACCCGTAAATGTTGAGTACTGTTGGAGCACCACACAATGGCGGTGGTGGGAAGGTTCACCTCTGCTCCGCGCGTCCCTTGATGAGCTGATCATATTATAAAAGAAGGAATTTGAAACACCAGAATAAAGGTTAAACAATAATCTGTTTTTTTTTGTTTTTTTACATTTAAAAAAAATAAATTTGGATCACATTTCAACTTCAGTATACATAAACATATGTAGTTAAATAGTTGTACAGAGTGGTCCGTAGGGATGGGGTATCGTTTGACATTTATCGATTCCGATTTCGATTCCGGTTCTGCTTATGGATTCCGGTTCTTATCGATTCCCCGTTTCGATTCCAAAATTGTAAAATAAAGAGGTCAAACGTTTAGATAACAACAATATATTTATTCTTAAAAGCTTTAACTGAAATTGTTACTAAAAAATATACATGCAATACAAATGTATTGCACAATAGCTGTGCTTTATTTTAACTGAGCTATGCCTGTGGCAAGCTATTAACAGGCATTACACTGTGCTTTTTCTTTTTTAGTGTAGTGGAGCCTCACTTCAGAGTGTTTACCGCGACCTATCTTTGGTGTTATGAAGTGACTGAGCTCGTGAAATGTCTACGGGTGGGCGGGGGAGCATCGCTGCGGGGCAACTGTGGACCTCTGTCGCCTGTCAGCGCAATTTATATGATGCCGTTTAAAAAAATGAAGGGCGGTGCCGGCCGTCAGCGTACCGAGCCGGCCGTCAACGGCCCGCTGACGACCTGCCGTTCTGTGATTCTCCAGGTCCGCCCTGTATTCCACCGGGTCACCGCAGCACCGCGGTGCAGACGGACCCGCTGGAATACAGGGTCTACCGCGTTTAGGAACCGTTAAGCAGAACCGAAATTGTGTATTTTGTATGGGTACCCGGTACCCGGCATTTTCTTATCGGTTCTCATCTGGAACCGAGTTTCGGTTCCCAACCCTAGTGGTCCGTCTTTCTTTCTTTTTCTTGACAAGACAACAACAATAAGCACACAATAAGGTGTTTTCTTTACAATATAAAACATTGACAGTATAGATCCTTAAATAAATAACACTGACCTCTGACCCCCTGTGGCCCCCCTAACAATGAAAGTTTTTTTTAGTTTTTTTTTTAAATGTATATTTTCTGGTACCTCGGTTGCCAAAAACCGCAGGATTTTGTTGCTGGTAATGTGAGATTGTGCAGACACCCTTATGTAAAGTAGAGATGTAACTGTTCATTGCCTTTATTTTTATATAAATATGGTGTTAGTGCAAACATTGCACTGTCTATAACTTAAGCTGAAGCTAACAGTAATAACTATAAGATCTATCCTGAAATAATAAGTGTACTGAAACAAATACCAATAACTGTATTGCATTGTTTTCTTATGCGCATTATTACTTCATACTGTCTAGTTCTCTTTTTCGTCCTGCATTTATTGTGCCACCACTCAGAAAATAACTGGCCCCCCCCCAATCAAATTGGTCTAAAAACCGCCACTGCATATCGGGGTAATATACACTTTTCCATTTCTCTCCCAAATGTCCTCCAATCTATGTTCCTGGAGCCTCAAAGAGAAGGTTATTCTTTCCATTACAAAGATTTCGTAAATGCTATCGTACCAATCATCTATAGATGGGCTGTTTGGTTTGAGCCAATTCTTTGTGATTGCTTTCCTGGCGGCTACACTCAACATCCCAAACAAGTATTTTGTTTTAATATTTGTGGATGTTGAGTGCAGGAAACCAAAGAGGAGTTCATCCCAATTAAAATAAATGTTTTTTCCAAATATGATGACAATTTCTTTATAAACCTTATGCCAAAAGGTATTTACTACTGGGCAATCCCAGAGCACGTGGTAATGGTTTGCTTCCTGGGAGCCACAATTTCTCCAGCAGCTGGAAGAACCAGCAAGGTGAGACTGCTGAGCGGGCGTGATAAAGAATCTAGTGAGACTCTTCCAGGCGAACGCTCTCCATGAGGAGGAGCTTGTTATTCTCCATTGGAATTCACAATAGTTGGTCCAGATTTCCTCTGGAATACAACTGTTAGTTTCCCTTTCCCATTTTAGTTTTATGTATATGGTACTTGTTTTTTTAATCTCCTGGAGTCCCTTATATATTCTTGATATCACTTTGAGCCCTGAATCTGTACCATATGCACCAATAAATACTTTCAGTAAGTTGTTTTCGAACGCCCTCTGGTTCTCTAGCATAGAACTGTTTATGTGGTGGCGTACCTGAAGGAATCTGAAAAAGTCACTGTTATTTCGCTCATGTTGTATTTTCAACGTTTGAAAAAAACTAAAGAGGGGCTTCCAAATCCGGCAGCACCAACACCTGATCTGCCGGATTTTGAAGCCCCTCTTTAGTTTTTCACCTGCAGGGCCCAGAGTGAAATGCTTTGGTGAGCACAAACTAGAGGGGGACAGCAAGCACTAGTGTGATTTTGGTGAAGTTGTGACTATCCTGGAGAAAGATATAGGGGGGGTTCCAAATCCGGCAGGAGAAATACCTGCTGAACATGTTATGTAGAGAACAGTGCAGATCTTCCCTATTGACACCAGGATGAACCTAGTCTAAAATAAGGAACATTAATAGTGTGATAGAAATGAAATGTAACGTAATAGAGGCACAGATATAAGATCAATAATACACTTTATTTTAGGGCACCTTTCAAAGCATTCAATGCATTCTTCCTGTTCATTACTCTCTCTGTCCTCTACTCTTTCTCTTTGTTCAATCTCTCCCTCGTTGTTCACTTTTTGCTCCTCCTCACTTGTCGCTCCTGCCAGTGAATTAAAAAGCAATTCAGCAATTTAGTTCATTTCACTTGTTTGTTTGCATTCTTTTTTTATTTAAATCTGTTTTGTTTGATTCTCAAAAGAGAACAAAGATGTAAGAAAAATGTGTTTTATACAATTGTATGTTATGACATCATAACTGCAATAGATGTATGTTTTAAAATGATGCCTATTGTAAATGAACACTATTGTTATAGAAAACCATTACAAACGTTTGTTAAAAGGTAATCCTTTTGACATTGGATGAATGTAATTAACTTTAGCTCTCTATGCTAGTTTATTCACGCAATTTAAACCAAAGTATAGCCTATAGCAGCAATATAAGTAGTGTGCCATGTTGTCGGACCGTCCACTGGACTAACGTACAGCGGGGCACAGGATCTGCTGCCTCATATGATGTTCCGGAGGAACAGAAACCCAAGCAGCCCTCTGGACTCAGATCTCTAGATACCTCATCACTCCTCCTCTGGACTCAGATCTCTAGGATACCTCATCACTCCTCCTCCTCTGGGACTTCAGATCTCTAGATACCTCATCCACTCCTCCTCTGGACTCAGATCCTCCTTAGATACCATCATTCACCGTACCTGCCTCTGGACTCAGATCTCTAGATACCTCATCACTCCCTCCTCTGGACTCAGATCTCTAGATACCTCATCATCCCTCTCCTGGACTCAGATCTCCTAGCCTCCACTCCCTCCTCTGGACTCAGATCTCTAGATACCTCATCACTCCTCCTCTGGACTCAGATCTCTAGATACCTCATCACTCCTCCTCTGGACTCAGATCTCTAGATACCTCATCACTCCTCCTCTGGACTCAGATCTCTAGATACCTCATCTCTCCTCCTCTGGACTCAGATCTCTAGATACCTCATCACTCCTCCTCTGCACTCAGATCTCTAGATACCTCATCTCCTCTCTGGACTCAGATCTCTAGATACCTCATCACTCCTCCTCTGGACTCAGATCTCTAGATACCTCATATCCTCCTCTGGACTCAGATCTCTAGATACCTCATCACTCCTCCTCTGGACTCAGATCTCTAGATACCTTCCTCTCTCCTCCTCTGGACTCAGATCTCTAGATACCTCATCACTCCTCCTCTGGACTCAGATCTCTAGATACCTCATCACTCCTCCTCTGGACTCAGATCTCTAGATACCTCATCTCTCCTCCTCTGGACTCAGATCTCTAGATACCTCATCACTCTCCTCCTCTGGACTCAGATCTCTAGATACCTCATCACTCCTCTCTGGACTCAGATCTCTAGATACCTCATCACTCCTCCTCTGGACTCAGATCTCTAGATACCTCATCACTCCTCCTCTGGACTCAGATCTCTAGATACCTCATCACTCCTCCTCTGGACTCAGATCTCTAGATACCTCATCACTCCTCCTCTGGACTCAGATCTCTAGATAATCCCTCTCATCTCCTCCTCTGGACTCAGATCTCTAGATACCTCATCACTCCTCCTCGGACTCGATCGCTCTAGATACCTCATCACTCCTCCTCTGGACTCAGATCTCTAGATACCTCATCACTCCTCCTCTGGACTCAGATCTCTAGATACCTCATCTCTCCTCCTCTGGACTCAGATCTCTAGATACCTCATCACTCCTCCTCTGGACTCAGATCTCTAGATACCTCATCACTCCTCCTCTGGACTCAGATCTCTAGATACCTCATCTCTCCTCCTCTGGACTCAGATCTCTAGATACCTCATCACTCCTCCTCTGGACTCAGATCTCTAGATACCTCATCACTCCTCCTCTGGACTCAGATCTCTAGATACCTCATCACTCCTCCGCTGCTCCGATACAGGGCTGCGGAGGTTTGTTGATACATGTCTTCTTCTTCTGTTTGTTTTAATCGAGGCTACGTAGTTATGCAGCGCCCCCATGGTCAGTAAATGGAAGTACTACAAAGAACCCCGTTTAGTGCAATTATTTCACAAGTTTTGTTAAATACACAGCTCGGAAAATATTACCGAGGTCCGGACCTCGGTGACCTCAATGGTAGATACGGCCATGATGTCTAATATTATAGTTGACTTTTCATTCAGGAAGTATGACGCTGCGCTGTCAGTATGCTTCTCCATGTTTGTGATTGGTCGAATGCTCCAGATACCACCCCTTTCATGTGAACGCGCACCTAACTAGATAGGAAACGGCTGGCTTGAGCAATCCACTTGATAACCCGCGTCGTAGTACAGTTTAGCGAGAGCGCGTATGTTTTGGAATAGGCCAACCGGCTAACTCAAACATATCCAGGTTAGGTTGAACCAGCTTCATAGTATAGGCCCCAGGACTCTTTGACAGAACGCACACACATCCCCTTAAACATCTTTAACGCACACACATCTTAGACATGTAGCCTTCCAGATGCTTGACGCGGTGTCTAAATAAGGATGTCTCCTGCCATGCAAACTGCTCCTACTCATACAGAGTAATTAAGCCACACCATATGTTTAAGCCAACCACTCCAAAATGTTGTGGCAATTTAGCACTCACAAAATGAAAGAATAAAACAGAGAGGAATCAAAATAAAACACAAACACAGGTACAGTTGATCAGTAATCACACAGCATGTATCGGCCACTGCAACATGAACACCACATATGTTATCCTGCAGCCTACCACACAAATGTGACATGTTTCTCTCTCTGCGTCTCATGACATCCTTAGGATTAGTTAACTAACAAAGGTTAAATGTTCTTATATCCTAAGCAAGGCCTTCTCCGAACTTCCTCTAACCTCGAAGGTCGAGCTCTACTAACAGGAATACATCTATTGATAATTCAGAACTCTAACTGTGTGACTCAATCGTCTCATGGCCTCTCTAGGAGTCTTGCAGGATATGAATTATCCAATTAACTAACGTCTGCAAATGCTAATACATGCTGGATATGAACCACTAATCAACAAGACTTTAACTGTATTATATCTGAGAAGCCCCTCTCTTGGAGTTCCTCTGACCTCTACCAATTCACTTAACATGGGTACATCTGCTGTTAATTGCAAAGACCATTGATAATTAGCAAAGAGACTCATGGGCCTCTTCTACTGACTTTCTGAAAAATACTTAACGGGTAATCATTTTACTCAAGGCAGAAATCACAGGTTGTACCTACTCACAAATAGCTAAAAAACCACCTTTTGATTATAACTAGGGCCGGGACTTTAACGCGTTAATTAAGATGAATTAATTACACAAAAATTAACGCGTTAAAAAAATTAACGCATTTTAATCGCACTTATTTTTGCACCGCGGAACGTTTCTCACTGGATGAGTTTCAGGCGTACCGATTATACTGGAGCACCAACTAAGTTCATGACTTCAGACAACAACAAACCACAGTGAAGAACAACAGTGGGAAATGTTGTTTTAAAAAACGGACGGTACGGATGGAAGCGTCGATAAGAGCACGGTTGTGTGCAAATTATGCAAAAAGGAATTCGCATATCATCACGCAGCACATCAGCCTCAAGTATCACCTCAATGCAAAAACATATAGCAGCTAGCGTGGACGTTAGCCTCTTTTATCGCGTTCACACCAAAAAGAACCGGGTACTAAAATTGTATCATGAGAACCTTTTTACCCCCCACGAAAGTCCCTGCTAGAGAGCAGAGAGCTGCTAGAGAGCAGTGGACTTTCGTACGGCTCTCTTGTGAGAAAAGAGCTATATTTCTGATTGGCTGGGCGGATTGCAATACCAAGCCCCGTAAAACTCCCAAAAAGTTTGTGAAGCCGCCATTTGATTCTCCTCGCATTAGCATTATTAGCATTAGCCCGGCGCAGAAACGCAGAGAGACTAACTTATGGCAACACAAAATAAACATGGGAGCGGTGGAGATGAGGAGGGTGTCTGGCGTTCTGGCGATTTACTCGGAAGCTGCTGGGACTCCCAGCAGCTTCTACTGAAGCCAGTCCCCCAACTCCGGGGACTTTGGGTGGCAGTATACGCCGTGAAATGGTTTGCGGCCTGCCAGTAAACCCAAAGCAGAAGAAGAAGCAGAAGTGACGTCAGCGGCTTCATTTGCCTAATCCACCCCCAGGTTCAAAGAGTTCTCATGAACCTTTGTGGGGAAAAGTACTGCGGTGTGAATGCGCCTATGGTATACTAAAATCCATGCTGAAAGAAAAAAATTGCTTCTCACTGTTCTCAGGTCAAATATTTATATGTGATTAAAAATGCGATTAATTTCGATTAATTAATTACAAAGCCTCTAATTAATTAGATTAATTTTTTTAATCGAGTCCCGGCCCTAATTATAACACAAAAGTGGAAGAAAAGACCATTTGCGCTAATCTACTTCTACTTAAAATGGGACATCATTTTAGGAATATTCAAGTTTAACACACATCCTATATATCAGGTGACATAAAAATGAATATACCAGAAATACGCTGTATTAAACTTTCTGCTATAACACGTTACTTTAGTACCCAGAGCTTTATGTTAGAGATGTATAGCAGGGTCCCCAGCACAGAAACTGCTGGATGCTAACCTGCATATGTTGGGCTGTTTGCACAGTTAGCATCAGTTGTTGAGGATGCTGAGTCCATGTCTGATATTTCAAGGATCAGAAATGACAGTTTTAATCAGAAAATAGCCATATTTATAATGAATTTGTTTTGCAAACTACATGCATTTTTAGGGTTACAATATCAAATCCATTGGTGAAGAGTGGAACAAATAATTTGGGGGAATATGGACTGGAGGTCTCTGCAGGCCTGAAAGAAGGTGTCATGTAATCCATTCCACTTTTTGATTTTCAGTGTTACCTTCCTTCCATATATGCTAACATGACGGCTAACTGTTATTAAAAGTTTTAGCACTGATCTTTTGTTAGCTTCAAAGCTGCATTTCTTTTTTTGTTTTAGTGTTTTTTGGCAAATGATCACTGCTTATTGTTACTGAGCAGCTTTACAAAAGGTTAATCAGTTGGTCAGAGTTCTCTACTGAGAACTGCTTCCTGCTACTGCTGGAAGCAGGCGAATAAGTGCACCACCAGAACAAGGAGCTGAAAGAGGCTCAAACACTCTGTGGAGGGTAATGCTGTGAATTGATACAATATATCACAACTAATCTCTAATATACTGTAAGCACCATTGTGATATTAACATAATAAAAACAAATGAATTGTATAATTGTATTGTGTGACACTAAATTGAGTCAGCAAGAAGCTACGTTTGGTTGTTCCTTGTGACTTGTTCCCGATAAGCACTCCATACTGAAGTTCTTTTTTTTGTGCGATCCAAGAAAACCTAACAAATCTTTACAGCGTGACTTTGTGGACACGGTCAACAAAACACATTGGAACCAAATCCCCCTCTTTGTCCATCACACGAGCCCGGCACGCAGCAGGTGGACTGAACACCTGAAAGCACACCCATGTGACAGTAAGCGACTTCTTCCAACTGTGTGTGGTGTAATCAAGTAATGATAACATTAGATATCATCAATGGCTAGATAAGCATTTATAAAGGACATTTGATCACATGCACTCACATGTGGTGAGGAGTTGGAGGGTCTCCTTGGCCGTCGGGCCCCAGCCCCTCCCCAGAGAGTCCCCCCCCTGGCCCACAGTGCTCAGGATGAGGAAGCAGAAGAAGAGAGCGTCCAGGAAGCTCCAGGCGGGCTCCACCATGCAGACCAGCAGGGCGGGGAGGGGGGAAGAGCAGGCAGAGGACCCCCACAGAGAGCAGCCCGGCGTGGACCCCCGCGGCCCGGCTGGAGGACAGACCCCCAGACCCTCTGAAGGACGTGCACAGGAGCGTGGGTGACCACAGGGAGGAGCAAGTGGGAGAGGAGGGTGAGGATGAGCAGGGTGAGGGGGATCCCCAGGGTGCAGTAGAAGATACAGAAGAGCTTGGCTTCATCAGAGGTGGGGGTGTAGGAGTCCGAACCTGAGAGGAAGAGAGGGAGAGGACGGCAGGGATGAAGGTGAGGAGGTCAGCAAATAGCAGGTATTAGATATTCATGTCCTGGGGAAACATGTATTGGACAGGCTGCGTCCATGTCTAATAAAGGTGTAATAATGGTGTTCCATGGGTGTGATCGGGTGTATTAATGTGTAATAGGCATATGTGCGTAACAGGGGTGCAATAAATAATTGCTGTTACATGGGTGTAATATGGGTCAAATACGGTGTGATAACAGAGTATTATGGTTGTAATACGGGTGTGATAACATTGAAACATGTGTGATATGGGTTTAATGTAGAAAATAGCAATGAATTACATTTCCAAAATATTGAGTGCCCATCTAAGGGTTAGGGTGAAACCTCAAGCTTTGAATGAATACATTATTTGTGTACTAAAAATGTCACAAAAAGGTCAAGAAATGTCCATCAAAATGGGCCCATTACCCAAATTCATAAAAAAACAACAGTCCAAGTTGCAAAGATTACATTTACCATTAAAGAAGACAGTATGCTCAGCGGAGGACAACACGTTCCGCACTAGAAATGATACATTAATATTATTTATCTCATCAAAATAAACTCTCCTTCTTTCACTGAGCCAACTTTTGGTTTTTACGCAACTTCAGTGATAATCACAAGTAGCACATATTCATTAAGGTTCAGAAATGGTGCCCTGTAAATGCCAGTTTCTTAACTGTTAGAGTTTTACATTTTGAATGTTACATTACATTACATTGCATTTAGCTGACGCTTTTATCCAAAGCGACTTACAATAAGTACATTCGACCAGGAAGACACAACCTTGAAGAAAACAGAATCATATAAGTACATCAGGTTTCATAGAGCCAAACATTTCAAGTGCTACTCAACTGGCTTTAGGTAAGCCAGTCCTTTATTAGTATAAAAGTGCTTCGTTAATAGTTCTAACGCTCGAAGTGGAGTCGAAAGAGATGAGTTTTCAGTTTGCGCCGGAAGATGTGCAAGCTATCTGCCGTCCTGATGTCAATGGGGAGCTCATTCCACCATCTTGGAGCCAGGATAGTAAACCCACGTGTTTTCGTCGATGGGAACTTGGGTCCCCCTCGCAGCGAGGGCGCAACGAGTCGTTTGGCTGATGCAGAGCGTAGTGCACGCGCTGGGGTGTACGGTTTAACCATGTCCTGGATGTAGGAAGGGCCAGATCCATTCGCAGCATGGTAAGCAAGTACCAGTGTCTTGAAGTGGATTCTAGCAGTTACCGGAAGCCAGTGAAGGGAGCGGAGGAGCGGAGTGGTGTGGGAGAATTTAGGAAGGTTGAAGACCAGACGAGGCGCTGCATTCTGGATGAGCTGCAGAGGTCGGATGGCACATGCAGGTAGACCAGCCAGGAGGGAGTTGCAGTAGTCTAGGCGTGAGATGACGAGAGCCTGGACCAGAACCTGAGTCGCTTTCTGTGTCAGCTGGGGACGTATCTTCCTGATGTTGTAAAGCGTGTATCTGCAGCAACGGGTTGTAGCAGCGATGTTTGCAGTGAAGGACAGGTTGTTATCTAGGGTCACACCCAGATTCCTTGCAGTCTGAGTCAGGGAAACAACTGAGGTGCCGATGTTGATTGTTAGGTCAAGAGTGGGACAATCTTTTCCCGGAAGGAGAAGCAGTTCAGTCTTGTCAAGGTTGAGCTTGAGGTGGTGAGCAGACATCCACTGAGAGATGTCAGCTAGACGAGCAGAGATGCGTGCGACGACCTGGGTCTCTGAGCGGGGAAAGGACAGAATTAATTGGGTGTCATCAGCGTAGCAGTGGTAAGAAAGACCATGCGGGCTAATGACTGATCCGAGCGAGTTTGTGTACAGGGAGAAGAGGAGGGGACCAAGAACAGAGCCCTGAGGGACCCCCGTAGTTAATTGACAAGGGTCGGACTCAGACCCTCGCCAAGTCACCCTGTAGGTACGGTCTTTCAGGTATGAGGTGATGAGGGAAAGTGCAGAGCCTGAAACTCCAAGTTTTTGGAGAGTGCGAAGGAGGATCTGATGATTCACCGTGTCGAATGCAGCAGACAGGTCCAACAGGATGATGACAGAGGAGAGGGATGCAGTTTTGGCAGTGTGCAGTTCCTCAGTGATAGCAATGAGGGCAGTTTCTGTGGAGTGACCTGCCTTGAAACCAGACTGGTGCGGATCCAGAAGGTTGTTCTGATTGAGATAACAGGAGAGTTGTTTAAAGACAGCGCGTTCAAGTGTTTTAGACAGGAACGGGAGGAGAGAGACAGGCCTGTAGTTTATAACATCAGACGGGTTGAGAGTGGGTTTCTTTAGGAGAGGGTTTACTCTTGCCTCCTTGAGACTGTTTGGAAAGTGACCAGAAGTTAGAGAAGTGTTGATGAAATGGGTGAGAAACGGTAGAATATCAGGAGCGATAGTCTGAAGGAGGTTATGTTAAAGCTAGCTGGTAATACAAAAGTCATGACATGTCTCTGGGGACACATTGACCCCATCAAGTGTAGAACTGCAATTATAGCATGAAAAGCAAAAAGCAACCAGCAAATATTCCAAAAGATCAGCTGGACCCCGGGTGCACTGACTTAAATCTGTGTGAAGGGTTAGACATTTGGAAAGATATGAAAATATGAGCAGGTTCTATTTTCATTTCCTACAGGTTGGATTTACCCATGGTTGTCAGGGTGACGATAACAAAGTAAAGTGAAGAAGTGAAATCATATCCTCTGTCCCCAGCGTCTGCCTTCAGGACGGCTACATCCCTCTGGTGAGCCGAGAGAGCTTTGTCCAGCAGCTCCACCAGACGGCCCCCCCGCACACAGGGGTTCTCCTGCAAGAAGGAGCGCCGCAGCTCGTCCACCTCCACCCTCAGCTGCTGCTCCACCGGCCCCTCCACCGCCCAGAACACCAGACCCCCCAGCAGGATGAAGAGCAGGTAGCAGAGCAGCAGGCAGGGGAAGGCCTGGATCCGGCAGAACAGGGCCAGAGAGGAGAGGAGCCGGGCCATCACGGGCTCTGACTACGACCTGAAACCAGACACTGAGAGCAGGTTTAAATATTTAGAGAGGGAGAGCCTGTAGGAATACTCTGTTACAAATAGAAGTCCTGCAATCAAAATGTCACTCAATGTATCAGCATCGAAAATATCCTTCAAGTACCAGTACTAAAGTAAAAGTAGTCGTTGTGCAGATTGGTCCATTTCAGAATAATATATATGATATGTTTTATAATGATTGATCATGAAAGTGTTCTCAAAGCTGGTAAAGGTGCAGCTAGTCTGAATGACTTTGTATACTGCAGGGTAGCTTGTGGATTTACTCCAGGTGGAACTAAAGTCTGATTCAACACTTGATTATATTTCACATCATTCATCCAGATCTGTGAAGTAACTAAAGTATTAAATACATGCAGTGGAGTAGAAGTACACCATGTACCTCTGAACTGTAGTGGAGTAGAAGTACACCATGTACCTCTGAACTGTAGTGGAGTAGAAGTACACCATGTACCTCTGAACTGTAGTGGAGTAGAAGTACACCATGTACCTCTGAACTGTAGTGGAGTAGAAGTACAAATTAACAACAAAATAAAAAAGTCTGAAAAAGTACAAGTGTCTCAATAGTGTACGTGAGTAAATGTACTTAGTTACTTTACACCCAGCCCCAAACTAATTGTTTGTATACAGACAAGGCATATTGGACTCAGAGGAATAAGAGAAAGGTTTATTCTGTGAAAACTACAGCTCTGTATAAATACATGTTTTCAGGTTTCAGGGCTTCCGGGAGAAATTGGCACTCTTACTATGACTCCATGTTGTTCTCGCTTGTTCTCTGTCCTTTGTGGGGTTCATGACTCGGGTCTGAGCTCCAGCTTCAGCACATTACGTCTAGTGGTGCTGCAGAAGGGTACGTTCACAAGATTTAGTGCTCAAACAACATGACGACATTAACCAATACAAACAAACAAAAACGTTTTTTCCGAAAGAGTTATTTAAACACAGCAAAACATCTCTGGATCAGCTTCTCTTCGCTCCATTTTTTTATATCATTGTTATTTAAACATATTTTGCACATTTTCACTTTTGGTTCAAAAAATAAGAATAACTGTTAGTTACAGTTTCAAATATCAACTGAAAAAGTGACAATATATATTGATCTCGTGTTCCCAAAATAATATTATAATATCATTTCTAATCGCTCATTAAGAAATACACCAATTTGAGGTCACATATAAACAAAAGCGGGGAACTAAAAACAGAGCAATGTGGACCACTTGTTAATGGGACATAAACAATAACGTTTTCATACTTAAATTCGATTTGCACTAATCTGATCATCCACCTGAAGTGCTTCATATTTGTTGTGTTTGCAATGTTTTATTTAAATGCTGACTCATGTCACATTGGAAAAGTTGTTATTCATTTTGGGGTTTTCCGGATTTGCAGTATATCAAAACTTCAATAAACACTCATCATTTACGTGATTAAAGCATGTTTCAAATGATGCACGTATTTGTTTGGAAAAATGTCGTGGTGAGAATGTCTGCAGTTTGTGTCAGGTGGGATACGTTGGTGGAGAGACCCTCCAGGCCAAACATTGTTCTCCATCTTGATGAGAAAACAGAATCCTTTCAAAAAAAGAAAGTGATTCTAGGCGTGTTGAATAGTGCTCCAGCTCATCTCTGCCCCCCCCCCTCTAGAGAGGCAGGTGAAGGGAGTAATGGGAGCCGGCCCCCCGGCGGACAGGTTTGCCCACCCTGCCGATGACGGGCAGTTTGTGGGCGTAGGCACGTGGCGGGACGGCAGGAAGAGGCGGGGGCGGGGCGAAGTTGGTCTGGAAGGGGCGGCGGCCCTGCAGCGCCGGCCCATCTGCCGCCCGCCAATCAGAAGGTGAACACCGGCAGTCCTGTGGGAGGGGGGTGAAGCGAGCTTTGGGGAAAAACGTCTCGGGACAGACCGGCTGAACGCTGGCCGGGACGGGACGAGGAGGATCTGGAGCGCTGCACCGAGGAGGAAGAGGAGGAGGAAGAGGAGCGAGCCAGGGACCTGAGGAGAGAGAAGAGAGTTAGCATCATTCAGTCATGAAAGGGACGTACGAATACTGATGGTTCTTTCTGTTGTGATTTATTCGTCTTTTATGTCAAGGAAACCGATACATCTTTATAATAAAAAAGGTCTTTCATCCCTTTCTCAGAACCACTTTAAACGAACACAAATTCAGTTTTACAGATTCATTAAACTACATTTAATAGACTAGAGGAGGGAGAGGACCTCCCTCTGGAGGGACTCAGGGACCTCAGCCTCTGCAGACCATTTACATGCATCGACCTATAGAACACACTACAGGAGAGGGAGACCCAAAACACGTCATTAGTTCTCTCACCTTCCTGGTCCGGTGGCTGCCAGGCTGGGTGGGGGGGGGTCGGTGCGAGGGCTCCCGTCCTGCCTGGGGCTGATGTTGAGGTTGGCCGTCAGCTGGGGCATCTTTCGGGTGGTGTCTGGGTTGGAGGCGGGGCCAGCAGGCTCCTTCTTGGTGTCACTGTGCTGAGACAGGGTGCAGGGGGGGCTGCCCCACCCGGGCCCCGTGCTGAACCGGACCGCCAGGCTGTCCCCGAAGAAGGAGTACAGCTCGGAGTACATGGCGGGCAGGGGGACGGGGGTCCACTCCTCCCAGGGGCAACCGGCCCCCCCCCGCCTGCAGGTGGCTGGCGATGCCCAGGCGGCGTCTGACAGAGGCTCTGGGGGGGGGCTGAGGCCAGGGGAGCTCATCCTGTACCCCATGGCACCCCCCACAGAGACCTGTGGACCCCCAGACCCCCCCTCTGCAGGCTGACTCAGAGACAGAGCCTTCATCTTCAGCAGCCGCTCCACCGCCACCTGCAGGACACACAGGGAACTCTTCAGGGATGGGCGTCAGTGTAATGCTACATTGCTATAGACTGTGACATTGAAATATCAATGGTGTGAAAAACATTACTTTAAGCATTTCTCTAGGAGTAGTAAGAGTACAAAATGTCACATGTACATTGGACGATAAACCAACCAGCCGGGCTGGACCCCTGCGGTACTAACCAGGATGGCTCCGTACACCTTGTGTCCGTCGGCTTTGACCTGTGCGTTGGACACAGAGTAATCGTCCAGCACCGCCTGCAGGTTGGCCCAGTACGCAGGGAGGTGAGGGAACAGCACCCTCTCTACAGCCTGCCAGGAAACACACAGAGTCCATCAGGTAAATGCAGAACAACCAGATGACTGATGTTCCCAGAGGGCAGCAGGGAGCGTACCTTCCAGCCCAGAGCGTGGAGCCCCACCACGGCCCCGTAGTGGGAGCAGAGGGGCCGCACCGGGTCCGACAGAACCTTCTGCAGGGACAGGAGGATCTGATGGTACAGACCGCTCACCAGGTCACCGTGAGTCCTGAGGGAAACACATTAACAGAGAAAGGACTTTGATTGGCCGTTCACCAGACTGGCTGACACCAGTGTTGGGTGTTACAAAAGTAACGGAGTTACATAATGTATGACTTTTTGCTGTAACGAAGTAATGTAACGCATTACTAATGACATGTGGGTAATATATTACCCGTCACAATGCTCAGTAACGCAGTTACAACACATTTTAACCCCAAATTAAATGGTGTTTTGTTTTTTAAGAATTTACAAACATAGCGAGACATTTCGACACCAGAGACAAACTGTGCGGGTAGATTAGTAAACCTGGTGTTTACCCTTCAGGCTCATCAGGATCCCTCCGCTTCACGTCGGGTCCCTGATCCGCCTGTCGGGTGTTCTTTTCCCCATGAGGACCGCCTCGCTGCACATTACCCCGCTACACGGCCCATATACTAACACACTACAGAGCCCATTCCGTGTCCTGTTAGTGTTTACTTTCCTGTCTGCCTTCTTCTGGTGATTTATCTGACGTCTTTTAACCTCTTTTCCTTTCTCTTTCTGGATCCTCCTTAGCAACCTTCATTATAGTCCTTGACAGTGGACTGTACTGGATTAACAACGTGTCACATGTTAAGAATTTACAATCAGAATCGAGTATTCAACCAAGCCGTGTAATACAAGTTGTTAGTAGCCATTCTTTTGCGGTGATTTTGGTAAAGTAACTCAAAAGTAACTAAAGTAGTGTAACTCATTACATTTCAGAGACAGTAACATTGTAATGTAACTTATTACTTTCAAAAGACAGTAATAAGTCATGTACTGTATTACATTTTGGAAGTAACTTGCCCAACACTGGCTGACACACACTCAGCTCTGAATGTGGCCACAGTTTGGGAACAGGTTCGCCCTTACAACTTTAGATAGTCAAAATGTCATTATTTGTTTGTGCAGCTTGCTCATCTGTGCAGGTGGCCCGCAAGAAGTGCAGCTATTCAATTAGAAATGATTCCATGAGGTGCTGAATCATTTGTGGTAACAAAATAGTAGAAATCTCCATAACAATGTACTACAAAGCCAAAAATAAATGGTAAACTGCATGCTGTGTGTTGTAAAGTATGTGATCTGTAATACTAATGATTATGGAGTTTTGTACTAACCCCTGCATTTATATGCATGTTATTTATGTGGTCTTTTCAACCTCTGTAAACAATGAAAACAGTACTTTATTTCACTGTGCAGTATTGCATTTTAGATGATTGTTTATCCTATTCTATTTACATGTAGATAGACTCCTGCATTGGTCACTTACAACATTCTCCACATTATTTGGCTATTTATCTTTTATTTTCACATCTATTGTTTATTTCATCTGCATTACTTGCACACTGGTCTAGCAACATAGTCTGTGCCATTTTATTCTACCGTTTCTTCTTGCACTATTTTAAAATGTTAAGTCTAATTGTTTTATTTCTTATATTTATGTTGCTTTGTTTGAGGAGCCTGGGACTTCAGGTTTGCCATATCTCCCCTGTAGCCACTGTGCATATGAAAATGAAGCCCTTTGAATGGTGAACAGCAGCCTGGTGGACCCCTCACCAGAAGATGTGGCTGAGCAGCAGCGCGGCGTAGTCCCGGAGGGTCCAGTGGTCGTTGAGCGGGTTGATGGAGGCGGCGAGGGGCTCCAGGATGCAGTACATGACGCTGGACACCAGGCTGCGCACGTACGAGCCCAGGTACAGGTTGGGGTTCTGGACCAGGCTCTTCACCATGTGGAGGAGCCGGTTCAGCTGCTCCAGGTCGTGGCTCACCGACTTCACCTGGACACACACACACACACACACACACACACACACACACACACACACACCACACACACACACACACACACACACACACACACACACACACACACACCACACACACACACACCACCCACACACACACACACACAACACACACACACCACACCACACAACAACACACACACACACACACACACACCACACACACACACACACCACACACAACACACACACACACACACACACACACACACACACACCACACACACACACACACACACCCACACACACCACACACACACACACACACACACACACACACACACACACACACACACACACACACACCACCACACACACACACACCACACACACACACACACCACACACACACACACCACACACACACACACACACACACACACACCACACACACACACACACACACAGTCAACAACCGGATAACAGTGAGATCACCTACGAGCTGATGGGATGGACCTACCCCACTGATGACGTAAACAAGTATGGCAGGAGGGCGGCGATCTTGGAGTTGGACTGGAGGTCCAGCAGAGCCACCTGAAACAGGAGAGATGTTTAGCTGGACCAGGGGCCTCAAACTCAGTTTAGTTCAGGGGCCACATACAGCCATGTTTGATCTCAAGTGGGCCGGCATAATAACCTATAAATAACAACAACTCCTTTCCTTTGTTTTAGTGCAAAAAGTACATTGTAAAAATGTTCACATTTAATGAACTATATTTTTACAAAACATTAAGAAAATAAGTACAATTCTACAATTATCTGCCTCAGTTGATCATTTACACATGTGCATTACAACTCACAGATCACAGGGTCTCACAGAAACATGTAGTCACCGGTATCTGGAACTGATCAATATAGTCATTTACTTTATTGGTCAAAAGTCAAGATCTAGAAATTATTTGACATTCATTTCCATCTGTGTAGTAATCCTGACACACAAGCATACAGACTAAAGGGGGAACTATTAAGGAAGAAGGTTCAGTATCCCCTGCCTATGACAAAATATAATAAAGTTGTGAAAATTGCAGTTAATGTCTTCTTTCTAATTTCCACATTTGGAAAGTCACAATGCGGCCGGATTGGACCCTCTGGAGGCCTGGTTTTGGCCCACGATCGTTTGACCCCCCTGAGCTCAACCCTACATCAGTGTTCAGCAGAGCTTTACCTTCATGAGGTGGGGGTCCTCGCCCAGGATGGCCCGTGTGATCTGCTGGTAGTACTTCAACAGGTCCTCTGATAGAGTCTGCACCGCTGAGGGAACTGGGACAATTCAACAGTGAGGTCAAACACCTGATGCACAATAAAACCCTCAGTTCACTGGTAGAGTGTAATACAGGGATCAACCTACAAAAGGCTCCAAATGTAACCCCTCCCTCCATGTTGTGTGTTGCAGCCTGCCAGTGACTCAGCTCTTTGTTTGCGTTATGTTATATATTTACATTCAATTCACGGATCAACGCCAGGCTAACAACCTCAAAAAGGGTTCTATATCACTACCTAGCGTTTTGGCATGGGGCAATGTGAACAATGCATATCATGATTATCCTGTCCAAAATAATTGCGATTCACTCGATTCCACATAATCCTCCGAAATGACTTGAAACTCAAATGGATCTGAAAACACTGGAATTGATTATAAAGTCATACACATTATACAAGTCTGTCCTCTTTGACGTACTAATCTCTGCATGTTTATAAATCAGGCGCTTTCTTTTACTTCTCTAACATGATGGGTCACTTCTTCGAGGATATTCATGATTATTCTGTAATGGTGAGTGTTTCTTTTATTGCAGGAGTGCAATATCCGATATCATCCAATCCTGAGTTGCAGTTGTTTTACGTGATCGGGCACAAGAGTGTAATTTTCAGATTGAAACCTGGTATTACTACAAAGCAAGTGACTTTCACCTGCCAACAGTGATTATAGTGTTGAGAGGAGAGGCAACATCCCCTACCGTGTGGAGCATGTTAATAAGAAAGGGTCTCAGTCTCACCTGTCCCCTGAGGCTCCAGGTTTCCTTTCCCATCCAGGTAAGACACATTTACTGTCAGGAGAAGAGAACAGGAGAACTGACCAGGAGCACATTCCTCCAGATGTTCAGCATCAAAGAAGCATCTGTTCTGTGGGTCTTACCTCGCACCAGGGTCTCCGCACAGCCTTTGGGAATGTTGGTGGCCAGAGCCAGCTCCACCAGGTTGATGTCCCGGTCCTCGATGAAGAAAAGCTCTCCTTCTTTAGCTGAGCGGAAAGGAAGAGCATCCTGGGCGCCGTAGCCACATACAGCCTGATGAACACACAGAGACTCGTGTAAAACTGACCCTGTAGACATTACTGGAGACAGACGGTGGTGTGAACAGCATCCTCACCTCCACGTTGCTCCAGCGCAGAGCTCTGTTGAAGTCCTCCACCGTCAGCTTCCTCCTCTTGGCATGTCTCATAAACTGATGAGCTGCTCTGTGTGGCCACAAAACACATCCACTGCATATCAGACAATGATGTGATACATACTGTATTTGTCAATATGTGTGTGTATATTTCCCTCCACGTACGTGATAACCCACCCAACATCCACCTCCAGAGTATGAAACAAGAATAGCCTTTTAAGCATAAATGTGATGATTGCTTCCGACTCAAAAGACTCATTTTGAGTCAAGCAGTGGTGTAAAGTAACTAAATAGATTTACTCAAGTACTGTACTTTTTTTGCTACGTTGTACTCCTCTACAGTTCAGAGGTAAATGGTGTACTTTTACTCCACTGCATGTATGTAATACCTTCAGTTACTTCACAGATCTGGATGAATGATGTGAAATATAATCAAGTGTTGAATCAGACTTTAGTTCCACCTGGAGTAAATCCACAAGCTACCCTGCAGTATACAAAGTCATTCAAACTAGCTGCACCTTTACCAGCTTTGAGAACACTTTCATGATCAATCATTATAAAACATATCATATATATTATTCTGAAATGGACCAATCTGCACAACGACTACTTTTACTGTCGCTACTTTCACTATATTTTAATGTCAATACTTGTTTTACTTTTACTTGAGTAACATTTGAATGCAGGACTTTTACTTGTAAGTACACAAATATTCCTACACTCTGGTACTTCTACTTTTACTCAAGTATAACATCTAAGTACTTCTCCCACCTCTCCCACATATTTGTTCATATGTGTCAATACTTCATAAACAGGCTGGTTACAATCATAGCGTGTAAAGATACATTTAGTGTAGGGTATCACATGTTTGCACTGCTGCAGTGATCTGTCCATGCACCCGGGCTGCACCGACCTGAGTCGCCTCCCTCAGCCGGTAACACACATCCTCCGCCAGCAGTGTGGCCACATCGTCGCCGAGCTCCACGCCTGAACTCTCGGCCATGAGTTTGACGGAGTCCCGAGAAACCTCGGCGAAGCGTCGCTCCTCCCGGTCCGCCATGCTCACGGCGACCACTCAGAAACTGAAAGGAAACAGCACCTACGTTAACGTTAAGAGCTACCGTTGGCCGTTTATAAGCCCTCTACATCTCCTTGGACACGAACAAAAAGCGGAGAGCGACAGGTATTTTTGGAACCTCCGGGCCTCCGTACAAAGCACTTCTACAACTAGTGTTAAAAAGTTTAGATTTAGATTATGAACATTGAGTCGTTATTGGTGAATAAGCTATGTCCCGAATTTACTAAAGCACATAACAGATTTGTTGCAGGTATTTACCCTTCATGTACCCGTAATGTATTAATGATATTAGTTCAAACATTGAAAATCACCAAATGTTTTAATGGGCACACAAGTGTTGGGGTCTCTTCACATCATGCTCACAACATGAAATCAGGGTTCCATCTATCAGCTGGAACAAACTATTTTATGTGACTATTGTGAACATTAGTCAAAGTTAATGTGACACCGATACAACTACACTAGTCCGGTGTGTACATGTCTGTAACTGCATCATTTGGGTTATATCAGAGTAAAATACAGTGAGGCAACAATCACGTTACTAGCCGGAGCCCATAACAGTACCGGCTGTAGCTAGCTACAATCATTCGAGATGCTAATAACTAAAGTTAGCTGTCTACGGATAAAGAAAACGCCATGCAAAATCTTGGTATTTTAACAATACTTTACCTTCTTATCTAGAACGGCTGAATATCTTAAGAGGGAACGTTTTACATCAGCGTAGCTATACACCTCAGACTGTAAACATTAGCCACTCCATTAACAGTGTAAAGTTAGAAAGCAAAACATATGTACATCCGTCAGACCCTTCAAAATAAGACAAGCCTGGGGAGCCCATTCCGTCGGTTTCTGAATAGTGTGACGCATGAGTGTGACGCATAGGGATCACATAACCTAATCTACTACGGATGAGGTTGTACAGCGTCAACGTTGAGGTAATGCATTTCAAACGTTTTCTTGAATTAACTGAATATATTTGACCTAAGTGCAACATCCGGTTTAATATAGGTAACTTGACTCTGCTTGGGTGCTGACATCCTTCCGTATACTAGTGACGCGCTTGAGTTAAAGGCTTGTGATTGGTGAATTGAAACGCACTGAGCTGCAGATTGGTTAATTGAAAAGCAGTTAGACAGGCAGCTGATCCTGTTGAATTGAGGGCTCACATGGGTCAAATGAGAACACGAATATTATATATATATATATATATATATATAAGCGCCAGTAAGACTCGCATTTTAACTGTATGAATCTGGCATCTGATGTTAAAAGCTGGGCTTCTGTCTTTGCTGTTCTGGTCCCAGGCCTTCCTCTTGATGTTGGAACCTGGATCCAGGGATGTACAGTGTGTGATGAAAGGAAGGAGCAACCATGCAATTTGTTGTCCACAAGAATCCTAAGAGTAAAATTGTGCTCAGACTTTCATGCCTACATTTCAGGTGCAAAATAACCCCTACTTGTGACAACCATGCTATGAGCATATTTATTTAACATGTAAAACAGCTTGACCATTTTTTAAAATTAAAATGTCCTATACCCTAGGGATGTGCAGGCCATTGTCAGTCAAACTGGAAGGGCTAAATAGAAACATTACTGTCTGAAATATTAGAAGTAGCAGTAAGATTTCCTGTTATTCTACTGATCAGACAACTGATGTATAACTACTCCGTTCTCATACAAAAAAAAAAATACAGCTGCATTCAGTTACATATTTGGCATGTGAAAAGGTTTAAAATCTGGAAACCATAGAGAAAACCACAACATGAAAGTTAGATTAAAATTAGTTTATTCATGATTCTGAGCTCAGACATCTCATTTACTCAGTTCATTAATAAGTATTTACAATAGTTTAAAAAATATACATTCATAGCATCAACTTTAGATTTTCCACAGACCACTTGATCTGCAATTGAAAAGTTCTTGTCCCATCTAAACTGCTGACACACAAGCTCTCAAGTCAAACAACCTTAATTAAAAAATATAATACATTCCCTATGGAAAGGGGAAGGATTTAAAAAATAAATAAAAAATGTTTCCATAAGGTTTAATGGAGCTGTGTTGGTCAGTGCTGATGCTGGATTCTAACTACGACCACTTCCTGTCAGAGCGCCCTGTTTTCCCAGATCTCCTGCACCTTGCTGCTCTCCAGCTGCTGCAGGTGGAGGACCAGCGGCAGCAGCAGGTCGCTCAGGTGCTGGCTGGAGAAGGTGAAGGCGTTGTGGGCTGTGACCTCTGCAGTGGGGGTGTTGACAGAGGAGGCTGATGGTGGAGAGGAGGAGGTGGAAGGAATGGATGAGCAAGAGGGGAAGAAGGAGGTGGGGGAGTCTAAACCAGGGGACAGCTGGGGGAAGAAGGTCTGCTCGGGGGTCTTGATCTTGTTGGGGGAGGCCGTGCTGGTAGCGGCAGCGCGTTCCGTACAGGCAGAACCCGAAGGAGCTGAAGGTGCGGCACAGAGCTCCCCGAGGCTTCCACTCCTTGGCCTGGGGGTGGAGCTGGGGGCTGGAGACAGATGGCGCTGGAGGTGGAGTCTTCTCCACGACGTCAGGAGACTCCAGACCACTGCCGACATCTCCACTCTCTACATGCAAGAAGTTACAGCGGGTTCCAAAGGGACAGACACCAAAGGAGCAGAAGGTGCGGCAGGCGACGTTCCTGCGGTGGCGCAGGGAGGGCCGCTGCTCGGTGGAGCTGTGGACGAACAGGCAGCGGTTGCCGTAGTAACAGTGGCTGGTGGTGTGGAAGCTGCGGCACAACTCAGTCTTGTACTTTGGGTGGCGGAAGGGCACGTGGAGCTCGTGGAGGCCGTGGGCGAATTGGGCAGCACTCGGCGTACTTGCAGAAGCCGTTGGACGAGTAGCTGGTGCAGAGCTCCGTCTTGTAGCGAGTGGAGCACACCCAGGGGATGAGGGGCGGGGAGGAGGAGTCCACCAGGGGGAGCAGGGCCTTAGCCAGGGAGAGGCCTTCTACACCAGAGTCTCCATCAGAATCCTCGCTGGACAGCAGGTTGTCCACCATCTCCTCGTCTTGGTAGGTAGGCAGGAACAGGGCGTCACTACTGGTCTGCAAGAAAGATAAAGAGCGGAGATTGGGTTAGCATGGTATAAAAAATACCTGCTCTGTCTACGTACAGGAATCTGTTCCCATGGCTTCTTAAACTTCATGTAGTTGTAGAGACAGTTTGCTAGTGTAGACCATATGGTCCAAGTTCAGGAAAAACCTCAATCTGCTGCTCTTTTAGACAACAACATTTCAGTATGGGAAATTAGCTCACAATTGAAAACAAAATGGTGCCCATGGCCTGTACATGGTTTGAGTAAACAATATCACAATGCAATGGGTAAGATGACCCAGAGGCCCAACATCCAATACTCTATAAAGCAACTAATTAAGGCTGTTAGGCAGGGGTGAAGAAAACAAATATGTTTGATACATCTCTGGTGTTACGTCTGGGCTTGCCTTTGAAGCTCGCCAATTTAGAGTTTCTCTTCATTTCTGTTTTATGTGTTGCTGGCATTTTATAGCCATATTTTAATATATTAGTAGAGTACTTGCTTTTAAAATCAAAACTCTATAGTGTGAAGATTACAGCTCCTCAATGTTTAACCAGCCCAGCAGAATGGAAAAAACACAATATACTGTCAGCTGTTACCTTACATCTACTTTCATTGAGGCTGCATTGCATGAATATGGTTATTACATCAATTTTTATAAAAAGCCATAAACATTCAAATAAATATGTTTTCCATTTGTACCTCTATACTTTTGCTGTAACAATGTAAATGTCCTCTCTGTGGGACTAATAAAGGTATTTTGATTCAAAATGTTACTCAAGTCTACCAACCTAAGCCAATTAAGTCAAAAGTCTAGACAGCATTGCAATAGTAGCTTGACTTACCTCAAACATGGCTGCAGACGGATGGAGTTGCTCGGAGGATTTGGGAGGTAAACGGCGGCAGAACAGAGCCTCAAAACCGGACTGAGAAACAGAAGGCCTGGGTGTTGTTAGAGGAATGGCACTGGACCTAACACTGCTGGGTTGTTATGGAGTCACAAGCAACGAATGAGTGTTCTCCGTGCGTCTTTTAAACCGGCCTCAGCTCCCGCCTTCCACATCAAATAAGCATCAGGTGTGCTCGAGCTGTACGTCACGAGCCGAGCGACCAATCACGTCCGGGCGCGGGACACGAGCTGATGACCCAGTGAGGTAGGTATTTTACATTAAGGTGAATACATTCAATCAATGTGTATGCATTTATGGGAAAACACGTGATTTATGACATTGGTCGTCGGTTAATACTTCATATGTTACTGTTCTATGCACGTACTTTCATTTGACTGATTTTCAAAAGTGTGTTTCCTGTCCTTGACAGAGAAATAGCTAATTAGTTTATCACATGACTCAATCAACATCCTCCACTGTTGAAGGTGAATGCCTCACATTAATTTAGGTTTGTCGAAATTAACACCTCATGCAGTCGGAAGTAGATCAAACAAAGCTTCTAATTAAAAGCCGTCTGGTATAACACAGCTGAGTACAGACTAATATTTCCTTTAGCTATTTGTTTAAGCTTTTCTTTATCAGACCCAAAGCAGAAAGCCTTTTATATTATAGAAGAAAATCAGTGGAAGGGTGAAATACATATCTATATCCAATGAACAGTGGTGTAAAGTTACTAAGTACATGTACTCAAGTGTACAATATTCACATAGGCCTACCTGCACTTACTGGAGCAATTGTATTTTATTCTACATATACTTGTACTCCACTACATTTTGGAAGCAAATAGTGTACTTTTTACACAAGTACATGTATTTAACACTTAGGGCCGGCCCTAGACATTTTGGTGCCCTAGGCGAGATTATGATTTGATGCCCCCCTCCCCCAAGCAATACTCAATAGAATATATAAAGAATAAATGAAAAATCTCTACAAAAAAACCAATACACTACAAAAACTGAAACGTATTGACATGTTGGTTATGTACATAAAGAAGGTTTCAAATGTATTCATTATTGTATGAACATGTTTTAATTGGGGGGTGGACGTCACATCCACTCCGCCCCCCCCCGGAAAGATTTGTTTTAACATTTTTTAAATAAAATACTTCAATCTGGTGCACTTGGAGCAGAATTACTAGAGACCAGGGTTGCGTTCCAATAGTCCATTTAGCTTAGGAACCTTCCTAACCAAGTGAAATGACCCGGAAGTCCCTCAGTGGCAGCCATGATAAGTGCCGTTCCAATTCTCTAAATGAAAGGAAAGGAGGTTTCAAACTTCCTTTATAACCTCCTTTAGCTTAGGAACCACTGGACCTCCCTTACCGAAAGGAGAGGAGAAAATGCTGCCCCACAATGCATTGCCGCCGCAGCATTTGCCGTGACACAACAGTCAACAAACGATTATGACCGAGAAATGATATCATGAAAGTTACGGTGCTTATTAAGCATTTTAAAACATATGTGGTAAGTTGCCAAAGTGCTTTGTTCTGAACGTTCATCAGTATTATAATCAAAGAGAGAAATATGAACGTTACTTTTTACTGAAATGATCAAATAAAGTCAACATTTCACTGAGCTGTGTGGGGTTTGTTCAACTTTTAAAAGATGTTTGAATGGTGATATACACAGTGATAGATGTTAAGGACTAACGTTTATAATAAATACATCTGTATTGATTTTAAGATCTTTTCATACAATCATACGTATTGGGATCATTTGTATTAATGTGGACCGGAGGGAGAGGGTGACGAGCAGAAGTTTCACTTTCCTTTTTTATTTCAATTCCAACTTTGGTCCTGAAGAATATGTTTCTCTGTTGTCCACGTTCATAAAGCATAAAGCAACAGCGTCAGAGCACGGTGCAGAGTCTCTGGATGAGTTTACAGTAGTCCCTCGTTCTTATTGAACATCCATGTTGTAGTCCGCTGTGTAGAGAACTGTAGTTTCCATAGTTTCCCCACAGCAGCAGACGCACATTCATGACGTCCGCTGGCGCATCATAAACACGTCGGATAGTGAAAGTGCAGTCTCTTCTCCTAAGTCCTTTTGAATTCTCCTATCCACTATCCCTTAACCCCGTGACGTTTCACTCAGAGGTCAAGGGATAGACGATAGGGTTAGAATTTAGGAGCTGATTTTTGGATTATCGGAACGCAACCCAGATCTATCGTACAACTCTAAAACGCCCATATGAAAAAGATCGGTTTACATTTGAATAATCAAATAAGTATGTGAACATAAAAGTAGTGGAAAGACTCCGAGTACTTCTTCCACCACTGATGAAGTTGTTGGGGCTTGTTTCTTCGACAAGAAAACAAGCCCCAACAACTCTTATTGACATCAGCTATAAAAACCTAAAACTATAGGGAGACTCAAATTGAACCAGAATGTTGAACTATAGAGCTGTGAAAAGGTGATAGTGGTAACATTTAAATATTTATAAAATCAACTGTGTAATGTACAAATGACTAATAATTCTCCCAGCTGTTTTAGCTCATTGTTTTGGTTTTCTGCACAGTCCTTTTTGGAGGACATTTGAGGGTTAACATTTTTACCAAGGGTCTAAATTAAAATGATTATAGTAATTGTTCGTATGGAAACAGTTGATGGTTTTGTATGTTATCTTATCTCTTAGATCATTTTCCATCAAAGCATAATTCCTAATGTTTTTACTTTATATTTAAAGAGCCTGTGACACGAGTTTCCCCCATCATCGAAACCCATCAATTTGAGTAAATATTGTCCCCTTGAAAATCGTTACTGAACTGATTTAGGATATTTGTACTTTGATAACCATTAATCTGCCCTTCAATGTTGACCATTTCCTGGATCTGCTCAGGGATTCTTCAAGTCCCGCCAAATTACGTGTGACGTCATTGCGGGCACAGCGCTCCAGCTGCACCGTTCAGGATCCCAGCATCTGCATGTAAACGCACGATGGCTCACACAGCAGCAAGCTCAGACAGCGATGACAGTTTAATTTTGAACGTGTCTGAGAGCTCATATGAGGCTGAAGGATCGCTTTATGTTGTATCTATTAGAAGTTTAGGAATGAGGTGCGTCAATATGGGCGATCATACGGTCATGTTGCCAGTGGTGGTGGACTGGGACTAAAATCATCCCGGGACTCTCGACCGGCCCACTTCGGTACCGCTAGTAAGTTGTCAACGGGGGGAGTGGGGGATGTCAGGGGCGGCGGGTGCTGTAGATAGTACATGTAAATATGTAAATATTTGTGTCACTGCATCCTGGTAAAATACAAATATAATGCAATGTCTGTGTCTTTGACATTAGCGCTGCCAGCCACCTGTGCCCTGTACTACGAAGCCATTTCAACAGACCCTTGATATGTTTGAGTAACAAACAAACTAACAACAACAAAACTAACAAACGAGATCTCGCTAAGCGGTCCTACGACGCTGGTTATCAACTCGGTAAATCAAGCCAGGGTTTCTCTCTCCAGCTGAGAGAGCGTTCACGTCTAAGACACGAGTGGATCTGACTTTAATTACATTTGACTCGAGTGTTTCGTCAACATAATGTGTTGCTTAAAATAATACTTCTGCATACAGTGTGTGACACTGTGAGTGTTGCACGGCCAGACACGGCAGATAAGGAAATATATGATATATTATGATATTATATGATCGATGATCTGATTGATGATGTAATATGAATGATAAGTGCGACACGTCGGCGTCTTCTCTGCATACGGCAGTTTAAACTCTATTTCCTTTATCCTGTAATATGACTTGAGAGATTTAAACTCTGCACACTGAGTTGATCTCTTTTCTATAGACGCCGGAGGCGGGCAGCGTCAGGTAAAAAAAGTTATTTAGCCTTCCCAAACCTGAGCCTCACGCGCCGCCTATGGGGGATGTGCTAGTGACTTATCCGACCGGCCCACTTCGGTACCCGGCCCATCGGGATTCGTCCCGATGGCCAGTCCGCCACTGCACCCAGCCCACGTAAACTGTCAACGGGGGGAGCCTCGCTGCGGGGAAACGGTGGACCTAGTGTCCCGATCGGAGCTGGGAATAATAATAATAATAATAACTCCGTGCATTTTATCCATTAATTTCCCCAACATTGTGGTGAAAAAAACACACGTTTAATCCATGTTGGTGTACTACAACTACAAAAAGCATCGGTTTGTTTTCTCATCAGGAAATGCAGACCGGCTCAAACAAACGATTTTCAATCATCATCCTCACGATCATTTAATGTATCATATGTTCGCCGAATTGACATGAAAGCACTAATAAATGTAGTTTCATCCACTTGAGTTTACAACTACAAAAATAATCGATTTGTTTTTATATCACATCCTACGGGAGGAAATTCAGCAGCTCTCACTACCGACTTTTAATCCTAATGTAATCATCATCTTCACCACGATCATTTATGTTTATGTTCACCGAATTGACATGAAAGCACTGACAAATATGAATATACTGTAGTCAACTTCATTAAAACTTTATTAACGTGCCTAAACTCAGTAATTCACCATTTCTACGCATGACAACACACTTTGTCCGTGTTTAGCTCTCTCGCCGCACAGTGAAGCGTTCCCGCATTGACGTCACTTCCGGCTTCCCCCAAAACTTCAAAATGAGTCGAAGGAATTTCCCCGCGATGTTCGAAATTATTGATATTTAACGGAACGGTATCGCTTTTTCTTTTTTAAACTGACGGTTCGAGATTACTAGTAGCCCAATATTTCATTGCACAACAGTTGTTGGGATGCTGTCACAGGCTCTTTAATTCACTCATTTCCATTTTGAAACAAAAGTAGTCAACTGAATCTCTACCAAAATACAGTCCCTTATGTTGCAATAATGCTACTTTTTAATACCTCCCATTGAGAATTGTTTTCGTCTTAAATCCTTAAATGAACTGTTCTTTTAATTTGACCTAAAAATAAAGCAGCATTAGATAAGCAATAAGCAAAGTAAGCTAAATCAAGCTGATTTCCATGAAGGAGTATTTATTAAGACAGAAACAGATTAGCATTAGCTATGAACTCTCTGTAATGGATGTTCAGTAACCTTTTGAAGCGACCCGTGAACACAGTGGAGAAAGAGCCCATGACTGACCACGAAGAAAAACAAATTCTTTATTTCTTTTCTTATCAAGATACATTAAAGGATACAGAGACATCGGAATAAAAAACACTTGAGAAAAGGTTTCAGTTGTAGCATGTTTGTCTCTCCATCATACAAAAATCAGCACCCTGTCCCTTTTGAATGTCGCCCCCGGTTCAAATGGCCACCCCCCACCCACCCTATGAAGGAGAGCAATGTTTCACATGTACAGTAGCCTATTAGAGCCATCTCCACAACAATGGAGCAGAATTACACACTTCAGATGTAAAAAAGTTTAAAATATGCCAGTTTTCCACTTGTCTTTACACAGATTAGTATTTGCTACAAACTCAACACTTCAAATTTATTTTCTTTTTTTGAGAAATATTACAAAGCCCACATTGGGACCAAACTTGCGTATAAAACCAGTGGAAGCCCTCACTGCTGTGGGGATTCACAGGAATTATAATCACCCAATTAACAACTTGCTTTCACTACTCACTCTTTCATAACGGTACAAACAAGGGGAAGAAAATAAACAAAGGAAAGGAAAGCACGTCGAGACAGCTGAAGATTTCTTTCGCATTGTTATCATACCCAATCACAATCAAAAACACCGTTCTGCATCAAAACATTTACAGAAGAGGATAAAAGGCCTATGAACAAAAAGTTCCGGATGAATTCATATTGGAGAAAAGTTGAACTTTGATCTCTTTTTTTTTTCAGAACTTCACTTTTGGCCCCAATTGTCTTCCGTTCATTTACATATCGCTGCTTTTTTCTTTTCCTTTTCTAAAAACAGACTTTCATCAACTGACCAGTAACATAATCGCGTCAGTTTCCTTCAAACCAACCAAACAGTACATTGTCAGAAATGCTGTGGCTTTAATTGACCATGACCCCTCGATTAAAAGTGTCAAACCGTCGTCTTTTTTCTGTTCTCTTTTTGCACATTATGGCTTCATTTTGGACCTTTGCAGACTCAAACATAGTACCTCAAAGCCACATGTGTCGTCTCATCATGGAAAGTCACACAGTAACTCCAAATCCATGCTGACCACAATCCTTAGATTCCCCCCAACACTATGATCCCTCCTTTAAGCAATGCCCCCCCCCCCCCCCTTTGATTCCAGTCAGCCTGTTCTAATGTATTAGATGAGGGCAAGAGAACAGGTGCCAGTGAACTGCTCCCTTCAAACCAGCTAAAAGCTATAAAAGCATGACGAGAGAATAAAGACAACATTTTGCTCGGTTGAAAAATTACAATTTTTTTTGTAATGGCTTCTGTGACGCCTGGAGACGGTACGGAGGGTTTAATAAAAGCAAAACTATTGAGTGACCACAAAACCAATTTGAGCAAGTCAGGATCAACATGTCAGTATTTTTAAAACAGGATTAAGTTCATGCATTTTTCAGAACCTCCATTAAAAATGTGATGACATTGCTTATCATAATAAAAAGGAATATTTCATTATGGACTATTGTTCTTTCTAGATGAGCAGTGAAAATCTGCATTTTTAAAAATAATGTATGAAGAGGATTTTTTTAGCGAGTCAATTTATGATTAAATAATGGTCATTTCAGCCCGTTACTGATATGAAATGACATTTTGTCTGCACAGACATGTGAGACTCTGGCTTTGTGCTCACTCAGTCATTTGGATGTGCAGATGGGAAGGACCTGTCAGGATCTATTTAGTTAGTTATTCAATTAAACCTTCGTCCTGTTCATTTGTCCCACTCCTGTTATACTGTGCCCCCCCCCCCCCTTATAGGTGCATATATTTACACAAGGATAGAGACGTGGAGGAACAACAAAGTGTGCTTTATCACCATTGTATCAGGATGAGAAATATCTTGATTTAAATTACACATTTTAAAAACAGGCGGCATCGAAAAGGGAGCAAAAAGAACTCTGGAGCTGGAATTAAATACTACAAAGCCCAGGGTGTTGTGTGAGTGTGTGTGTTTCATGTAATGAAATGTACAGTCGTATAAGTGCGTGTGTGTGTGTGTGTGTTTCGGACACATCAACTTTTGGGGAGTAACAGAGGACTAAAGAATAATGACACAGAAAGAGGAAAAGAAAAGACTACTGTATGGCGTCCTGTGCTGCCTGTTAAGTGACGGCCTGAGCACAGACCCCCCCCACTCCCACCCGACCCCTGTGTCCTGTTAAAAGACCCCCCCCCCCCTGTGTGCCCCTTCAGTCCTCCAGGACGATGGGTTCACTGGTGCTGGAGGGGAGCAGGGGCATGACCAGGGAGCGGGGGGGTGGGGGCAGTTTAATCCGGACCATGAGGTGGGGTTTCCTCGCCGCCCGGCGCATCTCGGACTGAGTCAGGTGTTTCCTCAGAGCCCTGGGGGGGGAGCACAGAATATCAGAAACAAATAAATACATTCACTACTTCTGACCTTTCACAATAAAAGCCTGTTGGATATTTAAATGCATCACCTTACTTTTTTAGTTATTTGTCACTTCTTTTAACAAATAACTTTTTTATTCAATGTTCTGTCATCCTTTATTCCTTTCATTTTTGGCTACATCGGTTTAGAAACATTTAGGTAGGTAGTGCAGTGAAGTCATTCATATAGCCATGAAACACTATTCTGTCTGTCAGAATCGGAAATCCTTTACGAGTCCCACAGTACACAATATGAGGGACGTGCTCAGGTACGGGCTAATGTTGCCCGGGTTAGGGTTAGCCCGTTTCCCTTTTTGTCTGACCTGCCCCTCTGGAGAGAGCGAGAGCTTTTTTTCTTTTTCGATTGTGGCCGAATCAACATAAGCCCACAATTATTATTGTAGCGTCTCGCTGCAGGAAACACACCTTGTCCGCGCTGTCATCTGCCCCCAGTCACGTGACTTTGTTTACAATCTGACAGCTGGAAAGCAAAGGACAGCCCTCCGGCCTCATATGACTATGGTGATCACACCAAATGCCTGCCTGGCGTTAGAGTATAGGGGACACACCAGGGGACTTTACTTCCTCTTGACACCGTCGGTTATTTACACAAAATAACACCTAAATATAGCCTACTTGTTGTTATTGTGCTTCTGTCTTTCTGTGTCTTTTCATCTGTAAACTCCCTCACCCTCTTTTCTTGATCGCCCTCTCACGGGAGAACCCTTTACTGTCCCGCTTCATTGTAGGATTTCTGCCATGTCTCCACCACTTTAGTTTGACCATCTCTGTTATAAATAAGTAATTAGATACCTTACCGTTACTGCGCTCATAAAGAATGATAAGAATAAGAATAATGCGTATTGAACTGGTTTCACTCAGTGAGTTTAAGGTAATTAGTTAGAAGCCCTATTTTATCAAAATGTCTGCACAGCAGTTACAAAGGTCAAACTACATTCAAACAGAATTGTCCCCATTTGATCTTTAATAGTTACTAACATGAGATATGGACCGCAAAACAAAAAATGTGCCTGAATAACGAATTTAGCAGTTGGACATAAAAGTCAACTGAGTGTCACAGTGTTGTGTTTTTATTTTATGAACCTTTTACATTAAAAACAAGTTAGAATTTCCAAAAGGTCTTATGTTTTTTTCCGTCCCTGCACAATATAACATTAATAACAATATACACATCATTATTATGGTTTAACCTTCCAGAACAACTGGCCACACACACAGAGCACCACACACACATAGGCTGTGTGCAATTTACACTTTATATATTTTTTCAATTTATTTACAATCTGTAAACAGTACCAGCTTCTTTAATTTAAGAAGGTCACTGTTAAAAAAAGAACAAAATATAGCTACTTAGGTTTTTACCGTGGTGTACTTATCACATTTGCCTACTTTCTTATTCTTTTTCAATATGTAAGTCTAATCTCTTCACTTTATCTGCACTACACTTCTGCTGTTGTAACACCGGAAATGTCCCCGTTGTGGGACAAATAAAGGAATTCGGATTCTGATACCTTACTACCATGCAATCTTTATTGAAGAGGTTATAGGATGTAATAAGGTGAGACGTACCTGGTGTCCTTGGTAGCCACGAACACCACAGGGTTGGGGGCCTCTCCCTGGCTGACCTTCTGCCTCTTGATGACCGACTGCGAGGTGGTCCTCATACCTGAAGTGTACGGCCTCCCATTGGCTGGGTAAGGCACGCCTGCAGCCTGTGAACCAATGAAAGACCAAACCGTGAATAAACCCTGTTGTTTTACTGAATAATGATCACTCTGACAGCAAGCTGTGGGGTCCTCATGGTTAGACTGCTAACTGTGAAGCTACAAGAGGCGACTCCGTTTGATTCTGAGGTGATCGCACTTTTACATCTTCATTCCAGCTTTTCCATGAATGCATTAAGTTTACACAAGTACCTGAAAAAAAAAGAAAAGAAAAAATGACGTGGAAGGGTGTTATGGGTAATAGTGCTTGTCTATCGAATCCGTCATTTACCACCTTCCCATTTATTCTGTATTTAAGTGTCAAGTTGGCCAATTTGAATTTGCATAAAGCTGAGGTCTAGGCCAGCGGTTCCCAAACTGTGGTCCGCGGACCAGGGTACTGCAGGTGGTCCGTGGAAAAAAGCTAAATAAAATCCACTTTTTATCATCAAGGATCTTCGGGGACCACCTCATATGTGACTAGCTCTATCAAAATCAGTCGCATTGACCCGAAGACACATTTTGAGTTGTATACACTGTTGGAAAGAGGAGATTCCTAGCTTTCTAATGATATCAGGCAGTGGGGTAGTGGTCGTTGGGCTCATCGGACATTTATGAGAGAAAATCTCTAATGTCCGAGTGCAAGTGAATGCACCACAAGACACGAGCCTTGTAACCCCTCCCCCGGCGTGAGCGTGGAAATATGATTGGCGGCGATTTCATTTGAACAGGACGGTGCAAAACGAGAAGCATCCGGACCCAAGTACTGTAGACGGAAGGAACGAGGTATTTGTAGTCTACAATGACAGAGAAGAGACTGTCAAGTTTGGCTGTACTCAGCATTGAATCAAAACGCACTAAAGCTTTGGATCTTAATCAGTTTGTGAGGCGTTTTGCTGAACAGAATGGTAATCGCTGCATCATAACAGTGATTGACAGCTGATAGGAATAATATGATTGTTAATAGTATCATATTAATTCAGACAAACATCTATGAGACAGTTAATTAATGTACTTATTGCAGCAGTCTGCATACATTTGGTACCCCTGGTCTAAGAGTGAAACAAACTCATTCAGTTATTGTCCAGTTAAAATTAGTGGTGCACGATAATTATCGGGCCGATAATAGGAATTATGACGGCATCCCGATAAAGGTATTAATAGCCCCGATAATATACAATTTATTTTTTGGGTAAAAAAAAAGAAAAAAATACTGCGGTGTGGGTGGATTGGGATGAGGGGCGCGTGTTTTTCACTGGGCTCCTCCCGCTTTGCCAGTACTGTGGTATTAGTGGTTTAGGAAGAGGGGAGTTCTTCACAAATCCAGCGCTCCCTAATTCATGCCTGGCTGTGACATAAATGGTGTGCGGCCGTGAAGCCAGGACAGTAAACAAACATGTCGCCGGTAGTATGGGACTATTTCAAAGTTTCAGAGTTAGATAGTTCGCTTGCTATTTGTATTAACAAATGCAATGAAGAAGTTCCACGAGGAGAGAAAAAGGCAACGAGCTATAATACTTCCAATCTGATTAGTCACCTGAAACATCGCCATCGCTACGATGGCGTGTTAAAAGCGTACGAAGACGCCTGCGATGCTAAACTAGCGGCGAATCCAAAGCCAGCTGCAAAGGCACCGGGGCTTTTACCTATCGACGAGGCTTTTGGAAAAGGCAAGAAGTTTGCCAGAGACGACCCCAGGGTTAGTTTTGTTCATAGTAGTAATGCTCATGTCATTTGCTCACTACTAGTCTTTTTTTACCACCAGGTGTGCAAAAACTACAGGTACATTTAATATATATATATTAGGGCTGTCAGTCCATTAAAATAGTTAATCGCGATTAATCGCAAATTAATCGCACATTTTTGATCTGTTCTAAATGTACCTTAGAGGAATATTTTTCAAGTTTTTAATACTGTTATCAACATATGAGTGGACAAATATGCTTTATGCTAATGTTTATTATCATTTGAACAATGACAAATATTCTCATGAATATTAAACACAACAACCTCTGAACATTACAAATATTCGCCTCAATTCAACCTGGAACCTCTCTCATACAATAATACAATACAACTTGTGTGTGTGTGTGTGTGTGTGTGTGTGTGTGTGTGTGTGTGTGTGTGTGTGTGTGTGTGTGTGTGTGTGTGTGTGTGTGTGTGTGTGTGTGTGTGTGTGTGTGTGTGTGTGTGTGTGTGTGTGTGTGTGTGTGTGTGTGTGTGATGGATCGTTGGAGCTATGTGCAACTCAAGGCATATGCTCGAACGGGAGCTGTCTGGACGCTGCAATCATGTTGCGCACTATCCGTGCTGAGTGTGCTGACTTTTCGTACAATGTCCCACTGTCTGGCTTCCTGCATAAAGTCAAGTGCTCGGCGCAGTTGTGGCGAAATGTCGCTCCTCTGTTTTCATTTAAACAGCTCCATATCCGTTAGCGCAGCTAGCTAGCACCAGATGCTAACAACAACAATGCACGTAAGGTCTCTCTCTCGCTCGCTCGGGCCACACATACACACACCCTCCCGGTCCTCCAACATGCCAGTCGGTGCCTGCCGGTGAGCGTGGAAGTGTGGTCTGCAACAAGCAGGCGACAGGAGCGGGGCTGTCAACATCAGCTTGTAGATGGTATTTTAAACTCGATGCGCTCTGAAACTACGGGGCGGCCGAGGAAAAAAAATACACATGCGTTAATCGCGTTAAAATAATTAGTGGCGTTAATTATTTTTTGCGTTAACGTGTTAACTTGACAGCCCTAATATATATATATTATATTATTATCGGTTATCGGTATCTGTATCGGTCTTGAGAAGCAGGAAGTTATCGGTATCGGTTTCAAAAAAACAATATCGTGCATCCCTAGTTAAAATGCATTAAATTATGTCTGCCATCTTAGATATTTCTATTTAAGGCTTTACTGATGTGCCACAATAATGTCACCTAATGTTATTCAGTTAAAATATCAATATTTTGGCTCTCCAAGTTAACATTGATTGATATGACTGCGGGAGCGGTACTGCAGTCGCTTTACCGCACCGTTGTGACGAAAAGGGAGCTGAGCCAGAAGGCAAAGCTCTCGGTCTTCCGGGCCATTTTCGTTCCTACCCTCACCTATGGTCATGAAGGATGGGTCATGACCGAAAGAACGAGATCGCGGATACAAGCGGCCGAGATGGGTTTTCTCCGCAGGGTGGCTGGTGTCTCCCTTAGGGATAAGGTGAGAAGTTCGGTCATCAGGGAGGGACTCGGAGTTGAGCCGCTCCTCCTTCGCGTCGAAAGGAGCCAGTTGAGGTGGTTCGGGCACCTAGTTAGGATGCCACCTGGGCGCCTCCCTAGGGAGGTGTTCCAGGCACGTCCAGCTGGGAAGAGACCAAGGGGTAGACCTAGGACCAGGTGGAGGGATTATATCTCTTCGCTGGCCTGGGAGCGCCTTGGGATCCCCCAGTCAGAGCTGGTTGATGTCGCCAGGGAAAAGAAAGTTTGGGGCTCTCTGCTGGAACTGCTACCCCCGCGACCCGACCACGGATAAGCGGGAGAAGATGGATGGATGGATATGACTGCGACTAAATCAGCATACACTTCTGCCAGGGGATGCCACCCCTCAAAATCTCCTGCCACCCCCATGAATATTTTTCTAGATCCACCCCTGAGTAGGCTATATTTTTCGTTTCGTTTAATAAGTTAATTTCAGGACAACTTTGGGAATTTGGGAGTTTGTTTTGAGATTTATTTTGAAAGTGGAGATAGAGAGAGAGAAACAGCGCTGTCTGCTTAGTAGCAATAATGTAGCTCAAGCATTTATGCAACTTAGGCCTATACATTGTTTATGTTACTTATATGCCTGTGTGTCCATGGTTTTGAGTCTGTGTGTGTTGAGCGCAGCGCCGTCTGCTTTTTGCAGCACAGTAACTAAAGCATACCGGTAGTTTTTTGTAGACCTGTCTGCCCGTTTTGTGCACGTGCGTGCGTGCGCACTTGTGGCATTGTTTGGGATGACCTAATTCAAATACCGTCCGCCGTCCTCTTTGAGAAACATACACAACGCAGACAGACACCGGTTACAAAAGTATCAGATATGCTTCAATTGACTTTTGATTGTCTATAATTAACTATAAAAAAATATCGGCGTTTTAACACTACGTTTATATATGTACTTATTTGTATGGTTTGCATATGAGGTGGTCCGCGAAAACCCTTGATAATAAATAGTGGTCCGCATAAACAAAAAGTTTGAGAACCCCTGGTCTAGGCTACTTTGTGCAAACCAGAGGCATCCAATCGACCCCCTCCTTCAGTAAACCGCTGGAAAATGTTTTTGTAGTATAACAGAAAGTTCCATAACAAGTTGATTGAATTCGTGAAAGGAGGTGGGTTTGAGACAAAAGCAAAGCCACTACAGGTGAGTGTAAAACACACGGTGTATGGTGTGTTTATTTGTGCGTTACACTTACGCTTTCAAAGCCTCTCTTTCCCAGCAGGCTTTGTCCCACGCGGGGCGTGCTGGCCTGGTTCCTGTTGATGGGGGTGGGGGGGCCTCTGGACGCCTTCAGTTTCAGAGGAGCTGTGATGGCTGCGGGGAAACAAGAACACTTAACAACCCGTGGTGGTGGTGGGGGGGGGGATCAGACCACAGGACCCGCTCTTACCTAAATCCTTCACGATGTTGGCCAGGGACGGTCGAGGGATCACCTTCGTCTTTACGGGGGTCTTCGTGGCTTTGGGCAGCCTGGTTATACCTGAACACACACATCATTCATTTTAACACATGTGCAATGTGGTTTAGATTAAACTCTGCTAATTGACATAGTTAGCAGAGAAGGAATACCACAACATAAATACATATTTTGTGATACTAACTGTACAAACTTAATGTTATCTTTTTATTAGCTCCAAAAAGTTTACAGGACATATTGTATAATACATTTATGATGGTAGCCAGAGGTGTAAAGTAACTAAGTACATTTACTCAAGTACTGGACCATAGTAACATTTTGAGGGACTTGTACTTTACTTGAGTATTTCAATTTGTTGCTACTTCTACCCCACTACAATTTAAAAGTGAATAATGTTTATTTAATATCTTGAGCTACTTTGGATGAATGATGTGAAATCTAATCTAGTGTTGAATCAGACTTCAGTTCCACCTGGAGTAAATCCACAAGCTACCCTGCAGAATACAAAGTCATTCAAACTAGCTGCACCTTTACCGGCTTTGAGAACACTTTCATGATCAATCATTATAAAACATATCATATATATTATTCTGAAATGGACCAATCTGCACAATGACTACTTTTACTGTCGCTACTTTCACTATATTTTGATGATAATACTTTTCTACTTTTACTTGAGGAACATTTTGAATTCAGGACTTTTACTGTGACAGAGTATTCCTACACTCTGGTACTTTTACTCAAGTACAAGATCTGAGTACTTCTACTTTTACTCAAGTACAAGACCTGAGTACTTCTACTTTTACTCAAGTACAAGATCTGAGTACTTCTACTCAAGTACAAGATCTGAGTACTTCTACTTTTACTCAAGTACAAGATCTGAGTACTTCTACTCAAGTACAAGATCTGAGTACTTCTACTCAAGTACAAGATCTGAGTACTTCTACTTTTACTCAAGAACAAGATCCGAGTACTTCTACTTTTACTCAAGTACAAGACCTGAGTACTTCTACTTTTACTCAAGTACAAGATCTGAGTACTTCTACTTTTACTCAAGAACAAGATCTGAGTACTTCTACTTTTACTCAAGAACAAGATCTGAGTACTTCTACTCAAGTACAAGATCTGAGTACTTCTACTTTTACTCAAGAACAAGATCCGAGTACTTCTACTTTTACTCAAGAACAAGATCTGAGTACTTCTACTGTTACTCAAGTACAAGACCTGAGTACTTCTACTTTTACTCAAGTACAAGATCTGAGTACTTCTACTTTTACTCAAGTACAAGATCTGAGTACTTCTACTTTTACTCAAGTACAAGATCTGAGTACTTCTACTGTTACTCAAGTACAAGATCTTGAGTACTTTCTACTGTTACTCAAGTACAAGATCTGAGTACTTCTACTTTTACTCAAGAACAAGATCCGAGTACTTCTACTTTTACTCAAGTACAAGACCTGAGTACTTCTACTTTTACTCAATTACAAGACCTGAGTACTTCTACTTTTACTCAAGTACAAGACCTGAGTACTTCTACTTTACTCAAGTACAAGACCTGAGTACTTCTACTTTACTCAAGTACAAGACCTGAGTACTTCTACTTTTACTTAAGCACAAGATCTGAGTACTAATACTTTTACTCAAGTACAAGACCTGATTACTTCTACTTTTACTCAATTACAAGACCTGAGTACTTCTACTTTTACTCAAGTACAAGACCTGAGTACTTCTACTTTTACTTAAGCACAAGATCTGAGTACTTCTACTTTTACTCAAGTACAAGATCTGAGTACTTCTACTTTTACTCAAGTACAAGATCTGAGTACTTCTACTTTTACTCAAGTACAAGATCTGAGTACTTCTACTTTTACTCAAGCACATGATCTGAGTACTTCTACTTTTACTCAAGTACAAGATCTGAGTACTTCTACTTTTACTCAAGTACAAGATCTGAGTACTTCTACTTTTACTCAAGTACAAGATCTGAGTACTTCTACTTTTACTCAAGTACAAGATCTGAGTACTTCCACCACCTCTGATGTTCGCACATAAATAATGTTTAACGTCATTGATAACGTGTGTGTGTGTGTTTACGTACACTCAGCCTTGACGGCGTTGGCGTTGATGGAGGCGTAGGGTCTGCGTGCGGCCCTCCGCGGCTGCAGGATGTCCTCGCACACCCGCCGGGCGATGCGGGTCAGCTTGGTGGTCTGCAGGATGAACGTCTGCCGGTTCTTGGCCAGCAGCTTGGCCCGCCCCTCGTTGCGAGTAAACGGCGATAAGCCCTGCACCTCCTGGCGGGTCATGTGACCACGGGGGCCGGTCTCCTGGACGGGAGGGAGCAAACCATAAGGACGCAACTCAAGAGGTCCATTCTTGAAGACAATGTGTCAACAGCCATGTCTTCCTCATAACTGCACTAACATTGTAACAGTTTGATTGACATCTTCTCTGCTGTTGACTGAAATGTTGAATGGTACTCACAGAGCCAGTTCTAGCAGCGCCCTCTAGCTGTGTAGGGGTCTTCAGGCCTCCGTACTTCTTCCAGTAGATCCAGCAGGAGGCGCACAGTCTGCACTGCATGTTGGGAGGCCCCCAGGCATACCACTGAGGAGACTGGGCCGCTGGTGGGAGGGAGGACCAACGTTAGGAGAGGGCGTCTAAACGGGCTGCTGCTACTACTTTATAAAAGAACCAAAAGTCAAAGATAGCAGGCTCCCAGGGTTTGATTTCTACATTTGCTTTTACATCTTTTGAGAGTATATTGGTTTAAAGATGGAGTCTTGAATGAGACAAGAGTCTGCAGGGTCGCTGTTTGGGCCATAAAAGCACACAGGCTTTGTCAATACAGACGAAAGAAAGGAATTTAATTCCTCATCTTATCCTTTTTATTCAAATTGTTATTTGTCTTTTTCCACAGAAATGGCCATGTTTAAAACCAGGAACTTACTGTAATGTTAAATGTGGCTGGTTTGGTTAAAACGTTTTGCTAACAGGCGGTCATTTATGATTATCATTTGTTTATGGTCTCTCATACATGGTCACATAGTTTAGCTATACTACAGTGGATATGATGCGCCTTGGTGACCGTTACTGACTTTCCTGTTGTGGCAATTCTGGCCTGAGAGAGTTTATGAGCAGCGGTTGCATATCCTTCAAAACCAGCCGTCAGCGTCACCGCCACAAATGGCTCTTCAGCCCTGACAGCGCTCCACGGTTATACAGGCTAACATTTCTCAATCAAAAGTCAGTAAATATGAATGCCTTGATGATGTCCTTATTTATAAAGCCTTCTTTGTCAATTGTTTTCAGGCCTGTTAATGCAGATGATATTTAACCGGATCATTTCAAGCTATAGTTTTGATATCAGTCCTGAAACCCAGGTATTATATTAGCTTAGATTTTCTGACCAGTGCTATGATACAAACAATACATTCTGGTGTAATTGTTCCTCTTAAAACTCATGGGAACTGTCCCCATAAACCCCCCCTCAGTGTGTACTTACTGTGGCAGCTCTCACAGCTGAGTCCTTTCTGGAAGCCAGGGGCCCCGTTCATGCCGGGCTTGCTGCCGGGGGCCATGATCTGGTTTGGGTTGGGCTTGGTGCTGGTGAGGGGGGAGAGCACAGAGAGGAAAGGGAGTTATTCTCACAGCAGTTCTAACTTCAAGTAAGTCCTCAGTGTAGCAGTTTCAGGGACACTCACTAGGTGGGGATGTACACCTGCTTCAGCTTGCTGTCTGCCTCTGCTGCCTTTAGTCGTTTCTGAAAATCAAAAAGAAAATGTGTTTGTTTTTGGTTTGACTGCTTTTTTACAAACAGTGCCTTTTGATACTGTGTGGCTTACTGTAGACCTACCTGTTGGATGTAGCGGTCGGTAGTCTTCCACATGTAGTAGAACTGGACCACACTGGCTAGAGACTTCCAGGGAAGCTGAGGGAGAGGACAAAAACAGGATGGTTACATTTCATATAGGGTTCCACATAAATAGGTACACAATACTTGTAATTAATGTATTAATTAATTAATTATGTGTATAGCACTTTTCAAACACCAGGGTTGCAGTCGGATAATCCAAGAATCAGCTCCTAACGTCTATTCCTTGACCTCTGAGTGAAAGGTCACAGGGTTAAGGGATAGTGGATAGGAGAATTCAAAAGGACTTAGGAGAAGAGACTGCGGTACTTTAGAGAATCCGACTGCACTTTCACTATCCGACGTGTTTATGATGCGCCAGCGGACGTCATAAATGTGCGTCTGCTGCTGTGGGGAAACTATGGAAACTACAGTTTTCTATACAGCGGACTACAACATGGATGTTCAATAAGAACGAGGGACTACTGTAAACTCATCCAGAGACTCTGCACCGTGCTCTGACGCTGTTGCTTTATGCTTTATGAACGTGGACAACAGAGAAACATATTCTTCAGGACCAAAGTTGGAATTGAAATAAAAAAGGAAAGTGAAACTTCTGCTCGTCACCCTCTCCCTCCGGTCCACATTAATACAAATGATCTATCACTGTGTTTATCACCATTCAAACATCTTTTAAAAGTTGAACAAACCACACAGCTCAGTAAAGACTGTGAGATGTTGACTTTATTTGATCATTTCAGTAAAAACTAACGTTCATATTTCTCTCTTTGATTATAATACTGATGAACGTTCAGAACAAAGCACTTTGGTAACTTACCACATACGTTTTAAAATGCTTAATAAGCACCGTAACTTTCATGATATCATGTATCCGTCACAATCGGTTGTTTCCGTGAACGGCCGACTGTTGTGTGACGCAAATGCTGCGGCCGCAATGCATTGTGGGGCAGCATTTTCTCCTCTCGGTTAGGGAGGTCCAGTGGTTCCTAAGCTAAAGGAGGTTATAAAGGAAGTTTGAAACCTCCTTTCCTTTCATCTAGAGCAGGGGTTCCCAAAATGTACAGCCCGCGACCCCCAAAATAACAGTGCCAGAGACTGGCGACCCCCTGTTAACGGGGGGGGGGGGGGGCTAGTGAATTAATTTAAGTTTTCCGCACTCTCGCGGGAATATCTCCGCAATGGAGCGAGTTTAAGTTTCACTTTCAATTGCATGATATAGCCCAGCCCACACCTTCGTCAAACATGTTGCCACTTGTTTGTACAATTTTCAGGCGATTTGTAATCTGTTCTAGAAAAACTGTGTTTTTTAAGATTTCAAGAAGCATATATAGAACAAACAATGGATGTATTTTATGAACATTTATCCTTACTGAAAGTAGATTTAGATGTTTTAGGAGTGAGATAGAGATTATTATCTAATGCATCCAATGAAGCATTGCATGAAGTCTGTTGATGATCAGAGGCTGTTGTTGGGGCTGCGTAAACGTTTTTTTATTTTTGTTTTGTAGGCAGACCATGCAGGCCAGCCCAATGGTCACCAAGGTTCATGTTTTAATAGCATTTTTACAAAAAAAGCCCAGGCGAGCCTAACATGTGAAAATGGCTTAGACCTCAGAGAGTTAAACTTGGGCCTGCGAACATAGTTTTACTGTATTTTGTTTTGAAAATCCACAGCGGAGGTTTGTGTCGTACATACTACATGCGGTGTATTTTGCATATCTCTCAGTAGCCAACGATCTGAGAGTCTGTTGGACATAAACTCCGTAATAAATGTAGTCTACATTTCAAAAGAGGTGTAAAACCTGTGAGCATTTTAAATCGCATTTGAACTAAATGCTTATATAATCTGAAGTTGTATTTGTATTGTTGATTTATTGTGTGAACGAGGCGATATAGAGAAGGTTAAGCTGTCATTATTAGGCTGTTATGTACTGTTGGAGTGGTAAACAGGCCTATTGTTTTTGGATATTTGTGGAGTTGGGTGGTCCGTGAGTGTTTTTTTATTGGTGAAGTGTCCTTGGTATGAAAAAGTTTGAGAAACACTGCGCTAGTGGATTGTCAAAGGGGGAGCCTCGCTGCGGGGAAATTATACAGATGCCCAGTCCGCCCCTGAAAAATGTCTATGCACACGTTATTATTAATACTAATAATAAATAAATTGATACAAAAAAATGGACCCCTGATCTAGAGAATTCAAACGGCTCTAATCATGGCTGCCACTGAGGGACTTCCGGGTCATTTCACTCCGTTAGGAAGGTTCCTAAGCTAAATGGACTATTGGACTTCAGCCCTGGTGTAGCTCAAAGTGCTTTCACAACATGGCACACATCACAAATGAAAACAGAGAACAAGAAATGTTGTTGCTATAAATAAATAATAAAGATTAAAGGACCAAAGGGGATGTTGCTAATGAAAAGCTAATCCAAAAATAAGTGGTTTAAAAATGTCCACTGTTACATAATATACTGTAAGAGAACAAAGAGAGCTTACAAAGTCCTGGCGGATATCGTTGAAGTCTTTGCCGTATTTCTCAAGAGCCTCCTCGAACAGCATGGCCTCGGAGGCGCTCCACTCCTCCATCTCGTCGCGGCACAGCACCGGCCCCCCCTGAGGGACCAGCGTGGACATGGCTTTGGCCAGGTCGTAGCTGTTCTTCTGCAGCGTGTCCATGGCGTGGAACTGAGGGCGGAGAGACAGGGGTGGAGCATTAGAGAGGTATCACCACAGACATCAGGCTTCATGCCATTGCACCCAAGACTAGTTTTCTAGGAAGGTAATAAACAATTGAACCCATATCCCTCTATTTTAGGAATTAGGAACTTTTAGCTGAAAAATGGTGCCGATAAAGAAGCACCAGGAATAAACATTTCACATTGTAGGCTACAGGATGTAAGGAGATGGAAAGTGTTTTCTTGTATCACCTGTATTTCTCGCTGAAGACTGAAGTTATATAACAATAGTTATAACGTAGTATATTTAATTTTGTTGTGCTGCTGAGCCCTCGGTAAAAGAGTAGCTAATAATTCAGGATGTGACTTGTTAATATTGTACTTCCAATACAATTGTACAAATAAGAAAATGTTATGTAGCATACTAAGTACGAGTGTAGGGCTTTTGAAATGCTGGTTGATATGGGAACCTTGCTATGAACATTAACACAGTAAAAGCAACACCACTGTTGGGTACTGACAACAAATTATACAAGATTCCTGCCATCTGAATTCATTCATTCTAATATCAAATGTAAAATCTTCACAAACAGTAAACAAAAACATATGAATGACTCGTGTTGGCCTAATGGATCATAGTGGAGTGAGTGTCCTCACCAGTGTGATGTCTCTGGAGGCTGCCGCGGCGCTCATGTGGAGGCTGGGCTGCCGGATGGAGCTGCTGCAGTCAAGGGCCCGAGCAAAGGTCCCCACAGCTCTGAAAATAAATCATACCGATTAATAAGGTTTGCTGATTCATCTAATGTTATTTTATTATTTTCAAATGTCCTACAAATATGAAAACAAGATTATGGAGATAACACAATTATTGTACCACATTCCATTTCCCAATGACGCCAGAGTCCCCCCTGTTATTGTATAGTTGGCTTGAATGTTACAACATTACGACAAAAAGCAGGAGTTCATGTGTGTATAAGATGTAAGCAATCGTGTTATCAACCCATCACCCAGCCTTTCCTTTACTTCCGTTATCACTCAATTACTTGCCGGATTTGGTTGAATATAATTCAACCAAATGATGCACTTATATGTTGGGATTTTCAGCAGGTTGTGCCAGTGCACTACAACATCCTTGTAATCTATTTTATTCATTATGTTAACATTATTCATTTCAATGTGAATATATATAATTTATATACTATTCTATTTATTTAGATGTATTTAATAAATGTTTTCCCTAGTTGAAGTTTAAACAAAGTTCAAGAAAGTTCACTGTGAAATAGGCAATTCAAATAAATAAGTAAATGAATGTGGGCTCTGTGAGTTATCGTGTAAAACACTGCTGACCTTAATATTGAACCATTAAATCATAATTAGGATGTTTGCCATAGCCAAACACTCTTTCTGTTCACCAACACTGATGTGTGTGTTATACATCTCTGATAGGGAAATATTAGTGCTGTTCATAAGGAGATGAGTATGCTGCTGAATGTTCCATTAATGAACACTAGAGGGAGTGTTTGGCTCATGAGCAGATGTATGGGCAGCAGGAGGATTCCCTCCAAAACCAAACTAACCAAGGTCTTCCTTTAAACAAAAGAAATCTGTGCTGCACCTCTAAAGACTAGTGTAGTACTATCAGTGCACTCTAATAGTGTCAATTAATATCTGTTTACAAATGGTGCATAACCCCTGAATTTAATTCATCAGTGATATTATTCTGCACTCAGTCAATACACTTTAACTATCCTATCTTAAGCTCTGCAAACAATATTCTTATTTCCCTAGGAGATTATCAAACTTGTTGCCAATTCACACATCCCTCTACGAAATCTGTTCGGTGGATGGTAGAGTCAGACGTCGGCATGGCAACAGTGTTGAGTGATGAAGATGCAACTGAGTGACAGATGGATGGGGAGTGTTACCTCGCCACCACCAGGAACTGGTCGATCTGGGGGTCTTTGAGCTGGTTGTTGGTGTCCCACACCTTGGTCTCCAGCTTCTCCTGGATGCGGGTGTCTGCTTCCCCTGAGACCAGAGGGAACTTTGTTTTAGTTTCAGGTGGAATCAGGTCATGTAGCGACTGAACATATTTCCTCCCAGGTATCCTAACTTTAGCTGCTGCTCACCCTCTGCCAGCTTGTCGGGGATCTCTGCCTGGTACTTGGAGCCCACTCGGATCTCGCCCTGGTCCGCCAGGAGGGTCTTCTGGTTGGGGTCGAACACCAACGAGTAGAAGAAACAGTCCTGGATGGAGCACACAGAAACACATTACAGCTATTTTCAAATGTTCCAATTGACTGTTTGTATCTGTGAGAACTGATAATGAAGTCTAATGGCGCATTTCCACTGCACGGCTTAGTGCTGTATAGTTAGGCCTTGGTAGGCCTGGCTCACTTTATGCTGCGTTTCCATTACAGTTTAGTAGCTGGGGCAGTAACTATAGTAACGCAGTGTGGGCAGAGCCGTGACGTCATCTTCAATGCGAACCACAACACCAACATCAGCCGTTAGCTCTTAGCACTCAGAGTTCACAGCTCCTCATATCTGTTCAGAAACTAGACAAAAATTAAACAAGTACAAACCACAGACTGCCTGTGTCATGGAGAATACAGTCGCTGGTTTATTTATGTCTGTAGGCCGTTGTTGTGAGTGTGGACGGTCGGAGCATATATAACGTTAGCTTAGCCGATCTCCATTTAGAAAACACGCATTTTAAAAGGGTGTTTCGCCTGCCGTCTGTCTGCAGACTTGTCAAAGCATTAACTCATGGTTTTTACTAACCGGTATCAGTATGTTGTTACTTGGAGGGTCAGAAAAAAGGTGAAAAAGTAGCCCTGAGCCGGAACTACCCCTAGTGGAAAAGCAAAAGAAAACGGGCCGGGTTTGGCACGGCACGCTTAAACCGGGCTACGCGCTGCAGTGGAAATGCGCCATAATACACTCTTTACAGAGTTTAAACGTGTGTTGCTTAACGATGACATTTAAAAATGTAGATATTTACTTATATACTTACACATTTATTATCACAATTTATGTCTTTCAATATTTTTTATTTTCAGCAGTTAAAAGGTGATACAATACGAAAACATTAAGGACTAAACCACAAAACATAGTAAGACCCACAGAACAAAAACAGACAAGGACATTGAAATAAAGTATGTGTATGTAAATAATTGAGGGTCGTACCTCTTTGTCCAGGTATCCTGCCAACACGTCTGTTTCATTCAGCAGGGTGACGTTACATTTCCCCCTGTGGAGATAAAGAGGAGCATTCAGAAAACCAAATGATCTAAGACACAAATACACAGATTCTGTATAGCTTCAAAGTAAAAAAAAGTTGATATCATTTTGACACAATTTTCTGTTTCCAAACAATCAAGAATAAGCGCACAGCAGGGGGTTCAAAACTCGTTTCCATGATGTCATGATGGCTTTACTGGATCATGACATTTAGTATTTCAATATGAAATGATTGGTTTATTTATTTCTAGAGGCCACTTTACAAACAAGAATGAGCCAATGAGCAAGAAGTGTTTTGGACTTGTGAAAAGAGTTAATACCCGTTCCCTGGAGTGGCGCTCAACACTTCATTCATGAACGTTAGTGAGACGGCCAATGCTGTTGTGTTAATCTGCATCGTTTGCTTATTAAACGTATATCCGTTTTTCCTCATTCCAATATTATAACAACTTTTTTTCTGATTAAAGGCAGATTCAGGAAACTTCAGAGCACATAGTGCAAAATAACATTTGATCCATATGTAACTATCATAAATACAGAAAGCCTGATCATAAGTATTTAAGTAATAATGAGAATAATATGGACATGTGTTGTTGGTACAGCTGTTTTTGGTTTAAGATAACAGTGGTGTTAGGAAGACGAGGTGACAGTCATTGGATGTCTATTTATATGCCTAGAGGACTAAGTCTTATATTTTGTTACCTGTGCCTATCTGTTACTATAGTATGACTTGAACATCTATTCAATAAGAGCTGAACAGGATGCTCTCAACTTTCTAAAAAGAACGTTTTCTCTGCAGAGAGAGGACCTAACACTGCCATAACAGCTGGGAATGTCCTGCAGTTAGGAGCAGATAGTAGGTTCCTTCTAACTGTGCATGGCAGGTGTCTGGATTCAGTCTGACTGCAGCTCTGTCGGTAACTCCTGTTGGTGAACACGTACCGTATGTGAGTAGCAGGTAGAGATTCAAACTGTCGGGACAGGAAGAGTTCTCTGTGTTTGAGCTGGTGCTTCTGTTGTTCAGACGGCGTCGGCTGCTTCGACTCCTCCTCAAACTCTCCTGCAACACACAAACATAATGCACCGTCACAAACTGAGAAGTGTGTGTGGGAGAGATTTTATCCTTTGCAGACCATTTACTTGCACTTAAGGCGAGACCCCCCAGGTGAATAGGGTAATTTTTTTAACTTAAAGGTATCAGCTATACATTTCTCCAGTTAACTACTTACAATAAGGCAATTGTCTTTTGTATTACAAGTTTTCTGAAATAGCATGTTTAAATATGCAAATGATCGATTACCTCATTAAATATGCACATATTTTAACACATTTCAGGAATCGAAATCTGAACTTTGGATAAAGCCAGGTTCAAAATTCTTGTTTAATTTTGTAGTCATATTAGTATCTAAGGCTTTTACAGAAGGGATATTGGATATCTCTTTTTATCACTCCATAAATCAGAAAATACTGTCAACAGCCCTAAAATATCCATTTTCGCCATGTTTCTAGGTATAACATCTTATATAATTCAGGCTATGAATGATATATGAACAAACCCTTCAGTAAAAGCCTTCATAATATTGATAGGAATATAACTGGAAGGTTTGGTGTATGTACGTGCTACTGAAGTTGAAATTTCGAACTCAGAGTAGGAGAAAAAACTCATTTTGAGAAAACGACCTTTAAAGATAGCAGTGAGGCGCTAGCTAAACCTTCCTGTTCTTTGGATGACAGCTTGCGCATCGACGCACTCCGTGAAGGTATTTCATGTTCGGGGTCATTTGTGTTTTGTATAACCTTGCTTCGTGCAAGTGACAATTGTTGTCGTCTTCTCTGTGAACGTTTTTTTCGCCGTTCTTTTTGGCATTTTGAGATTTCAATTTCTAGCTGAAAGCTAACCAGGAAGTGTTTTAGCACACCACGTGACGCATCTGAACGAATCACGTTGTCAGAAATTGACACCAGCCAATGAGATTTAGTTTCTTGGTTTAATACCCCTTTGTGCTTTCACGATTGGTTGCTGATACAAAGGAAATGACCATATTTGGATCCGATGAGATTGTGCAGGAGAGACACAGCTTTCCAGCGATATCTCTGTTGACATGGTGCACACAGCGGTCACGGTACTTTATGTTACGTTAGAATGCTAACTTTTGGTGAATTTAGGAGAAATCTACAGACGCAAATAGACAAACTATAGTAAAATAAACACTTAAATGTGTATTTTGTACGTTTTCCTTCCAAAAGCCTGAAAGAAAACATGTTATGGAATCAAAATAGCACAAAATCTCAAAATTGACCAGTACTTGAAAAACGATGTTTTTGCCTGCCGTGTCTCGCCTTAAACCTATAGAACACACTACAGGAGAGGGAATAGGGCCTCTTTAAGAACCAAAAAACAGCCATGTGTTTAAACAAACAAAAATGAAGGGGCTGCATCATGTGCAAGAAAGACCAAACATGATCGATGCAGTCCAGTTTAAGATATAGATTCATGATTTCGAAAGTTTAATTAAGGTGTATTAACTCCAAATCTAGACTTTAGGACTCTGGAAATAGTAACAAAAAAAAAAAAAATTCTCTACACAAACAATTGCAAGATAAGAGTTGGATGATGTGGCAATATATTGCACAAGATAACAAATGTGTCTACCGTTAAAGATTCATTTTGACAAGAATACGGAAGTTTAGGTTTCAAAGCAGTCCTGCCGAGCTTATACCTCAAGCTGCTATGCATATAGACACTTTGATGTAATGCCCCTTTATGTTTTGATCCAAGTTAATATCTTACTTTGCTTTTATTGCACTTGCTTCCTATTGCAGCAGTTAAGATTGTATTCATCCTCTGTTAAGCACTTTATAAGAGTTCAAAGGTGGCAAATTATCCGGTAAAAAAAAGAAAATTGGTTCTGTGTGCTCGATGGTGCTCGGTCTTAAATTGAGACTCATTTGAGAAATAGAGACATTTTAAGCTATGTAATTGATCTTTGCCACCCAATACAATGCAGAGGCCTAGAGACATGGTTATTAATGGACTTACTGTAAAAACAATAAGACTTTCACATGATCAAACCCATGTGACACCCACAAAATGAAGCCATAGGCAGCTGTGTGTGTGTGTGTGTGTGTGTGTGTGTTTGGCCACTAGATTGCCATTCCTAATTTCAGGCGGGTGAGTAATTTGTTGCAAGCTCGAGGGGAGGGACTATATCGCTCCATCTCCGTGGACTCCGCCCCTGCACTCAGCCACAGGAAACCCTGTCAGTGAGGGCAAGAGAGAGACACTGGAGAGATAGTGAGCGAGAGGGACGTTACCTTAAGCCACACCCCTTTTCTGTTAACCTCTCAACCCTCCCCCTCCTCCTCCTGTCCGGCTAGTCCCTGCCAGACAAAGTAGGAAACCCTGTGTACCAAACCTGAGGCGCCCATCCCCCCCCCAACATGTATCCCCAACTCCCTTCACACACACAAATAAGAAGCCACACACACACACAGCAACATATTCTTAAAACACACGCAGCATTACACTCCTAAAGACAAACACACATTTTCTTGGCTCTGACAAAGACACAAGGCAAGTCAGAATTAACCCGTTCCACGCTGTGGCCCTCGGGGACAGATCAAGGGCCTTTTGTTCTCCACAAATAATTAGTGTGTGTGTGTGTGGAATGACGAGGAAGAGGAGTGATGAAAAAAGTGAGGTAGATAAAAAAAGGTTTAGCATATGAGCAGCAGCAGAGGAGCTGGTACACTTCTTCATGACCGTTACATCACAACAGGCAACAGACACACTGTCTGTCTGTGTCTGTCTGTGTGTGAGAATGTGTGTGTGTGTGTGTGTGTGTGTGTGTGTGTGTGTGTGTGTGTGTGTGTGTGTGTGTGTGTGTGCGCGTGCGTGCGTTCGTGTGTTGGATTGACTATATTAACACAAGTATATTTTATTAAGCAGACAAGGGTTAGCCTGGATGGGTAGAATCTGAATGTTGGAAACAACCCACACAAGACTGGGGCTGTGTGGCCGTGAAAGATTTTCTTTTCTTTTCTCTTTCAATTACCCATTTAACAATATATTAAAGTTAACACAATGGGCCTTTCTCATTTCTCTAATTCCCCTCCTAGACTCCTATCCCGTGTGGCACTTTTCTTTTTTTGTGAGGTGCCCCCACAAATAGAATCAAATTCTGTGGGAAACACTGCACCTACGCACTGTACCCCCCACGCACCTACACACCGTACACACCACACACCTACACACCGTACCCCCACACACACTACACCCACACACACACACACACACACACACACACACACACACACACACACACACACACACACACACACACACACACACACACACACACACACACACACACACACACACACACACACACACACACACACACACACACACACACACACACACACACACACACACACACACACACACACACACACACACACACACACACACACACACACACACACACACACACACACACACACACCACACACACACACCATCAGGCTACAGCCGTTGTGTATTTTATTATGTGAAGCACTAAATGGTCTTAGAAACATCTGGACTCTTTGTTTGTAGATATCTACTAAACTAAAGCACTGTTGCCGGAAATGCATCCGCGGAGGAGCCGTCAGTGTATCCTCGGTTAGAGCTCCTCCAGAGAGCCTCCTCGATGCTCGATCTTCGGTCCTCGAAGTGCATTTAGAGAAATTAGATGTCCTTCAACATGGCGCGCTGAAATCCATTTCCGGGTCACTCACGGAGGACCGAGGATTCAAGGAGTCGAGGAGGGGAAATTAGAGAAATAAGAAAGGCCCAATGATGATTAAGCCTATAGCCCACTGATAACGTTTTTTTGCATTTGCAGATGTGCGGATAGCCCTGTTTATTTGGATTTACAGTACAATTAATTAATAACAAAATACCTTTTTTATAACTCCAAAAAAAAAAAAAAATGTAAGGTACGTTCTTAGGCCAACCCATAAGTTAGCATCGCAGGGGTCCCTCGATAAAATCCAATGGGATTTCCCCACCTATCCCCCTGTCTAACGAAAAACTCGTTAAAAAAAACCACTGACTTCGAGACAAGGGAACCAGAAGTTGCTTACTCGTTTCAGGGTTTTAGGACTCGTTCCTTCATCATTCTATACCAGTGGCGAACCGTGTCTATCACAACTGGACCTTCTGTAGACACACAAACCCCCCGCCACGGCATTATAATGTCCGTCTTTTCACTGAATTGTCGTCTTGAAAAGGGTACTCACAACAATTCCGTAACAACTTCATCTTCACCTGTTGCACTTGTCATTTCAACGTTAAAAACAATAAAACGGCATGAATTGCTTCGTCGCATTCGTTCTAGATCCTCTGTCTCGAGCAAGTGAACTAGCGGGCCTTCTAGAACACCCTGGAACCGAGGGAAACTCTGAAAGAATACGCCCATTGGCTACAAATCAATATATGATTGGTTGATCAAACTGTCAGTCCAAACGTACACTCTCATTCAGTGTAACGGCCAGGGCATTCGATCAAGGATGTAGAATACCTTGTTGAAGGATATTCTACCCAGAGACCCAGAACAAGATCTGATTGGTTGCTTTCTTTTCTAACACAAAACCACTGAAATGCGTAGTGCATGGTCCGAGAAGGACAAACAAATCAACGTAACACTGTAATATTACAGATCATCAACACAGATACCATTCTCATGTATTCATTTTATATACATTTTATTTATATAATTAAATCGATTTTTTTGTTTGTTTTATCTGAGTGTTCCAGGGTATTCTCTGAATACCTTGAAGGCCCTGACGGTTCACCACTGTTCTATACATAGTGCCGTGTTAAAAATTGCACTACATTAAAAGAAAAGTTGATAAAACACTGTCAATGTTCAAGTTCTTCCCCATGATGTGACCAGAGCCTTCCTCATCATGCTACCATCTTTGGTTGGCTGGGATGCCTAGATTTGCGATATGGCAGCATTGCAAAAGCTGCATCTGTGCAAACAGTATCGCCAAATAACTAACCGTGGACACATTTCTAACAACACACGGTGCATGACGTAATACCGTACAACCCTATTGCATTTACTGAGAAGCTGATTATAAAAAGGCATTTCGATGGCTTTTAGGTTTTTGAACTCATAGAACTGTTACTGGACTTTTTGTATCCTTTTTCATGTCAAGTTAAACCAAGTAATAAGACTGAAGATGCTCTCAGTTATTAGATATGGAGAGAAGGAAAAGTAAACGATTATCAAGGATTCAAGGAACCACAACATTGTTTTTATTGTAACCACCTGGTACAGGGCATTTTGTATTCTTGGAGACTTCATGCTTTGCATTATTAAAAAATCTGCATAGAAAGAGGGACAAACACCATACATGTGGCAGTTAAGTTAATTTTGTGCGGTTGTGGTTTATCCATGTCACTACATCACCTGTAAAATCTAATCAGGCAAAGCCATGTTTGGAAGCATGGTGCCTTAAAAATCTTCAAAAGATTGCAAGATGCCAGCGGACCGAAGACATGATGAAATTGCCATCATTGCATTCAGTCGCATCTCAGACTTGTCCACACATGATCAGTGAACGAATATTAGCATCTGTGTGTGGAGCCATGTGTGTGCGGTGCCAAGTAGATGAAAAAAGAAAAGCGGCTTTAATGCATCCATTTTGAGGTGTGTGTGTGGATGTCTTTGTCTGGAGCACTGCGGCCCAGGAAGAGGGAGGGGTGTGTGTGTGTGTGTGTGTGTGTGTGTGTGTGTGTGTGTGTGTGTGTGTGTGTGTGTGTGTGTGTGTGGGGGGGGGGTTGGTGTCGGGGTAATGAGTGAATGTGATCAGGCTTCAGTAGTCTGCATGCCATTATCACCAGCCCACCACCTCCTTGGCTCTCTGATCACACACAAGACAGAGGCTGGGCTCCGAGGTGTTGCACCAGCAGCAACATCCTGACACAATACTCCTGACAATTATAGTTAGATATTATTTTAATTAGCAGTGGTATGTTTCACCGAGGAAATTACTGCAGGAATATTTTACTCCCTTAAAATGTGATTATATGGTTCCCAACATCCTTGAATTGAGCTTGAAAAATGTTATATTGAATAAATGTATGTGACATGTATATAAATAACAGCTGTTTACTAGCGAATTTAGAATTAGAATCACAATACTGGATCCCAGGGGGAAATTGGAATTTGTTAAAGTCGCTCCATTTAAGAATGAAATTAGACCAAAATACTTATACAAGCATCACCAAGTTCAGTGTGGGAGAGAAACTCCCTCTGGAGGAACTCAGGGATTTTAGCCTTTGCATGCACAAAACATATATAACCCACTTCAGGAAAGGGAGAGCCCCCAAAAGCATAATAGGGCCCCTTTAATATATTACAACAATAAATATGTAAAAATATGTATATTACAACACCTTATTTTTCACAGGATTTGTATTCCAAATAGTGGAGATCCTGATTCAAAATGATTGAAACATTTATAGTGAAGGTCTAATGGAGAGTTGCTCTACAACAGTACAAGGAGGAAGTGAACACCAAGACCACTGGCACTCTGTGCCCCCCCCCCCCCCCCCCTCCCCCCTCCCTGCAGGGAGTCCCCTTTATCCCGAGCCTTTCCCTGCCAGCCTACGAGAGGGCGCGGGCCAGATTAAGATCCGGAGGCAGACGCTGACAACATGTTTGTCAACTGATCTTCTGATGCTAAAATGTAAAGTGCTTTTATCGACTAAAACTAGATTAATATTTGAATGCCTTTCTTTGACAAAGTCGTGACTCGTGTACTAAAATTGGATAAGGCTGACTAGGGCTGCACGATATATCGTGTCGTGACGATAATCGCGATATGCGCATGCAAGATATTCACATCGACGTTAAGTAGGCAAATTAACTCAAACACGTCATGTTACAATTATTTTGCTGCTTGCTACAAAAGGAAAACTTGCCATGTCACTCTCATGTCAGGGGTACTTGAGTGAGTGACAGCGAACCACCAATCACAATCAAATCTCCATTGCATAATAGACTAGGACAATATTCAAATTGCAGGAAATGCAATATTTGTTGAAGGCTAAATGTGTGTTAAAATACCATTTGGAATAAAGAAATAGCATTCTTCTATCGTTTGGTACAGATCTAAATAAATACAAATAAAAAAATCACACGATTATCATTATACATTTGTCAATGATGATAAGTTTATTATAAATAAAACTGATCAATGCCACCGATACTGTAAATCCTATCGCAATATCTAAATGTATTGTTCAAACCTTGCAGGTTTAGGCAGGACCATTATTTTTGGACTTCTGCAATATTAACATTGCAGGAGTTGCAATAGTTGGTAAAGGTTACAATTGTGAAAATATTATTCTGAATTGATTAAACATAGACTTCATTAAAAGAAAAACATGTTTGGTACATTTTTATTGCATTTTTGAAAATAATAATAGGAATGTTTTAAAAATGGTCATTCCCTGTTTTAGCGCAAATCATCATCAAGAAGTTATTTTTTCCAAATGGTGCGGCCCAAACACAACTGTTCAGAAAACGATGACTTCTCCAAACCAGCCTACAGCAAAGCCTTACACAGAAAGTGGAGGTGTGACTTTAACCCCAGAAGGAGGCCTTGGAGCAGTTTACAACATAAGAGCTGAAGAGCTGCTCGGAAAAGGGGTGCTGGGAGGAGGCGGGGCTCCGTGGTTAGTACTCACGTGCATTGCTGTCAGCCAGAGTGTTGAGGTTGCCTGAGATGTCTCGCCTCCTGAACAGACAAACCACCTTTGCTTCCACGTTCCCATTGGCTGTCTGTAAGGGGAGAGTTAGTGGTTACAAGCTGGCTTCATGATACAGCACCGGTTTGAATACTCATGTTATAAATTCTGTTAAAAGTGTGAGCCTTTGTACTAGGGCTGTGCATCTTCACTGGTCTCACAATTCGATTATCCTGTCAACGATTTGAGCAATGTGTTCCATTCTCAAGTTTCTATAACTGCACATGGCTACTTTTTCATCAATGAATACAAGCAGTCAGATAAATATGAAGTCCCTTTTCTATTATTGAGAAAAGCTAAATAAATAAATTGTATAGGTCTAGCCTCCCTATATTTTATGTGTGAAATTGTTCCATCCTCAAAACAAAACTAATACTTCTGCAGGCTAGCTGCAGCTTCTAGCAACTGTCTTCTGCTCAAAAAAAGGACACTGAAGGTCCTGAATGTGGGAAACATCACAAACATGACTTGAGTCTGAACACAGCAGACAACAGGAGTATTTATAACAGCATTTCAAAACTAAAATACTGCATGTGGGTGCACACTTACATTTCTCTGTCTTACTGTTACCCCAATCTCATAAATCTCATGAATTTATGAGATTAAGTCATCATCATATCTCATCAATCAGAGATTTAAAAAATGTTTTAAGTGTATAATGAAGTTATTTTTTTTTAGATCAAGCACTATTTAAGTATTTATAATTTGAAGTCTGCGATAATATTTGAATAGTCTGAAAGCCAAGACTTTGAAAAACCCCTGTTCCGGACCCTGTCGTGTCATTATATTCAGTAGTGGGGGGGGGGGGGGTCTGTCTTTTGGTTCGGGAACTTGTTTAGCATGTTTTGGTAGATAAAACGATAGTTACGTATGTAACTACGGTTCTATGAATACTGGATGACCGCCAGAGGCGGTGCTTTAGCACTGGATATCTTCCGTCTTGCGCATGCGTAGGTCGAATATGTATATCAACAAAGTCACGTGTGACCTCGTATGACCCCGGAAGGCATAAGTTCCGGTGTTGTCAACGAGTTCAGTCCTATGGAATCTTCTCGCGGAAACACGAGATTCCGAGTGACCAAGAAACTTTGGCGGTCATCCAGTATTCATAGAACCGTAGTTACATACGTAACTATTGTTCTATTTCATCCTTACTGACCGCCAGAGGCGGTGCTTTAGCACTGGATGACATATACCAACAGAGTCACGAGGAAGTCTGAATACTCCCCCTGCTATAAGGATGGCCTAGGCTGACTCTGCAGGAGGACCACACCCAGTGTGCTCTGGGATGCCCATGTGGCCGCAGCACATATGTGACCTGCTCTATCGAAATCAGTCGCATTGACCCGAAGACACATTTTGAGTTGTATACACTGTTGGAAAGAGGAGATTCCTAGCTTTCTAATGATATCAGGATTGTTTTTGTACTCCAAATATTAAGCAAAATATGTCACATTATATAATGACTGTCACCGAGTCATCATTTTTGAGAAAAAGGCCAAAGTTTCCTCTTCTCTGGAATCCATCGATCTGATTGATTATTAGCGGAGCAAGTTATCAAAATACTACGGAGGGAAGATATTTCCGTTTGGATTACTGGTCTGGGGGAAGCTCGCGAGTGTTTGTGTATACGTGTGTGTGTTTGTGTAATTTTGCGTTTGTGTGTATTGTGTTTGTTTCCCGGGGAAAACCCTCACGAGAAACACCTGCTGTTGTTATGCCTGCTGTGACGTTAAGTTACTCCGTTCTCCGCTTGTAATTATGCCGTTAAAAGCTTCAAAGTTGTATTTATCATCTGAATTTGCCGAAACAAGTTTAATATTCTGAAAGCCAAGACTTTGTTTAATTGAAATCAGATGAAAACAAACTGTAACGGACCCTGCCGTGTTATTTATGATTACTATACACGTACATTCATAATTTCAGCCGGAGGGAGGGGGGGCGGCGCTGCTGAAGAGCAGATTGCGAGTGAGAGGTGCCTGTCATCTTCCCTTTACAAGCTTCAAAAATGTATTTATCGTGTGATTTTGGAAATAAAAGTTTCATATTCTGAAAGCCAAGACTTTGTTTATTTAAAATCAAACAAAACACCCGAACCCCGAAAAAATAGTTTTTTACGCAAATCCACTTTTATTTTGAAATGAGCCGTTGCGACTTCCGACTGATTTCGATAGAGCGGGTCACATATGTCCTTGCACCTTAGGGAGGAACGCTGTGTTCGGCCATAAGGTGACACCTGAGCCATCTGAGTTCCACCTCAGACACGAGCTGTTCACGGATAAGGCCTGAAGCTCGCTTACACGCTTTGCTGAGGTGATGGCAAGAAGGAAAGCAGTCTTAGCTGAGAGCCACTCCAGTTCTGCCTGTAACAAAGGTTCAACAGGAGGCGAGCATAGGGCATCCAGCACCAATGGCAGTTCCCATGTAGGGGTCCTTGGATATTCGGGGGGGCGAAGCCTCAGAGCTCCCCCATACAAAGAGGGATACCAACCTATGGCTCCCACTGTGCTGTTGTCAGCCCTTGTGTGTTGAGCTGATATAGCAGCCACATACACCCTGACGGTAGCGGGACACCGGCCATCGTTCAGGAGGGACTGCAGGAACTCAAGGGTCGTAGGCACCGAGCAATATACTGGGTCCTCATTTCGCCCTTGGCACCAGTCAAAAAAACAAAACAGTTTCCACCTGTTTTCGTACTGCCTACGAGTAGAGGATGCCCTGGCATTTGAGAATAGTCTTCCTGACAGACTCCATGCAGTCGCTCAGCTGTGGGTCGGGCCCTCCCGTGGCCAGACCCACAGCTGGAGGCGGCAGGGGTCGGGGTGCCACATCCGACCCTCCAACTGAGACAAGAGGTCCTTCCTGTTGGGGAGACGACAAGGCGTCCCACAGCAGAGTCTGTGCAGCAGATGGACAGGCCCGCACCTAGCTGGGTTAAACAAGGAAGTTTAACAGGACAGCCTAGCCAGGCGGCTCCTGCTAGAATCAAGCAACACGCCTACCAGGAGCGGGGGCGAGAACACTGCCTTCACTGGTTGAGTTGATAACGAATTCCAGATGCAGCGTAACCGGGAGCGGGTGCAAGAACACAGCCTCCACTAGCTACCTGCTGAACGTAAAGAGTAGAGCAATGCTCCTACACGCCAAACACAGAGAGGGATGTAAATGTCCTACACCACGTTACCAGCAGAGAGAGCGGGAGCGAGCACTGCATTCACCTAGGTGGATTAGATAAGGAAATTTAACAGGGCAGTTTAGCCAGGCAGCTGCTGCTAGAATGAAGCAGCGCGTCTACCAGGAGCAGGGGCGAGAACACCGCGCTCACTGGTTGAGTTAATAACGAATGCCAGATGCAGCGTAGGCGGGAGCAGGGTGCGAGAACACAGCCTTCACCAGCTACCTGCTGAACGGAAAGAGTAGAGCAACGCTCCTACTCGCCGAACACAAAAGGGATGTAACTACACCCATGTTACCAGTAGGGTTGCCAGAAACTTACCATGATCAAAATCGATTATTCGGCAGCCCTGGCGAATAATAATCGATTAATCGACCGACGACCGACCGAAGAAAAAAAAACTCAGACAAAAGGAATTCCGTTGTTTTCTTTACTGGAACATGTTTAACAGTACAAATAAAATAAACGACAAATAAACCAACATCAACATGATGTGGGTTTATTTTTTGTTATTTTCTAAAGTGCCTGCCATTGCCTTTATTTGGAGATGCGCTATGCGCGCACAATGTATTTATTGCAATGCTGCCATTATTAAATACAGGCTACAGCTTGTATTAATAATAGCAGCATTGCAATAAATATTATTATAGCAATTTATTTATTGCAATGTTATTATTAATACAGGCTGTAGCCTGTATTATTAATAATAGCAGCATTGCAATAAATAAATTGTGCTCGCATCGCGCATCTTCAAATAAAGGCAATGGCAGGCACTTTAGACAATAACAAAAAATAAACCACCATCATGTAGCCTGTATTAATAATAGCAGCATTGAAATACATTCAATAATTAGCCTATTGTTCCACGAGGAGGAACTCTTTTTATCTGCCGCTTTGTTCATCTTTAGTCGCACGTGTGAGGGAGAGTGGGGGCGGTGTGTAGCGTGCTGCAGCAGCAGTCTGCTCTGCACGCAGGCGTCCTCCAAGTTTACAGTAAAACAAACTGGTGGTGTGACCAATGGCCACTTACAATTAATACTATTACTATTATTAGCATTAGTCTATATTTTTGTTGAAACTAAGCCAGAAAAAAAAAAAAAAAACATAAATAATAATAAAAAAATATATAAATAAAATCGATTTTTAAAAATAATATTCGATTATGGAGACTGTAACGATTAATCGAATAATCGAATAATCGCTGGCATCCCTAGTTACCAGCAGAGGGAGCGGGAGCGAGAGCACTGTCTTCACCTAGCTGGAAAAAATAAGAAGTTTCAGCAGGACAGCCTATCCAGTAGGGCTGTGCAATTTAATCGATCCTGTGATATATATCGATATTTAGTTTTCCGAGAAAGTATCGATATTTCAGCCACAGGTATCGATACATTAAGTCTGATAACTGTGTTCGTTATTCTCGCGTCCAGGAGAGAAGCTTTAAAAAGGAGACTAATTGAGTCTCTGAGAAGGTTCAAATGTATACTTTAATTAATAAAAAGCACGGTAATGTTACAAGCAGAAGATGGTTCAGTCAGAAAAACAGCTGTGTTCTGGCTCTTGAGTGAAGGGAAGAGAGCGAGCTCCATCTTTCCAGCTGTTAAATATCCTCTGCTGGCTCCTCCCTGTGGGCCGGTTGGCGCTGCTGGGGGCCGGCCCTCCACGTCTCCAATGTTCGTTGTTGCGCATTACAGAGGATTCAGACATTGTACATTAAATATATAACTAAACACGCCTTTTCTCCTCCATATCTCTTTCATGACTTTTCATTTAATACATTTTAAACGCTGTAATCAATACTCCAATAATACCTCACGGCTGGTATCATTTCCGGTAGTTCCGGATGTTGTCTCATGCTACCC